AATGGCATTGCAAAGTGTCAAACCAATTGTGATGTATTGGGCCTTGAGAGTGACGGGTGTGTTACTCTGTTCAACTGCGGATGAAAATATTGAGAAGAGAGGGAAACTTGCAGTGATGACAAGAGGACTTCCCGAAAGAATTTTCGGTGCGTTGGTGTCCAATTTGAAAAAAGGTTCTCCATTAGTCGTTCATGGTTGTGTGAACACGTTCAGATATATTGTATGTGAACCATATTCAAATACAACGGAGTTTTCAATGTATAAACGAATGATGAGCATCATTAGCGGTCTTGGAAGAGACGTATTTTTACTTTTCCAGTCTCCTTGTATATCAGTGCCACATATTGCCGGACAAATATTAAGGAGTTTAGTGGAGGAAACGGATATGGATGAGAAAATAAAGGAACTCCAAGACTACGCTTTGCTCGAAGGAATTACTCTCCAGTACTTGCAGACTGCTTGCTTTGCTGCTCCAAAATCCACAACACAGTTTTTGCAAAAACACCTGGCAATACATTTATTGGACGTCTTCACGGCAGACCACAAGGATTCAGAGGAAATGCTCGAAAGAATTATCCCCAAAGCACTCTTGGCGTACCTTGACAGCACGGACGAACCTCCAGAGCGAATTGAAATTGACGAAGGAGAAAGAAAAGACAGATTGAAATCTGGCGGAACGGGTTCGGTGATGAACTTGGGATCGATAAGTTCATTTTGGAAAAAATGGAATGGAACAAGAAGTGTCAGCGAGATAAGAACTCGGCAGAAACGAATGATCAAACAGAAAAGAAACTGGGGCATGTTTGTATTCCAATTACACCAACAACACAGAAGCGCTGACTTGATTTGGAATCACCAAACACGACAAGAACTTGAGGAAGCTTTGAGCAGTGAAATCAGAAACCTCAAAAAGGATCAAGAAGAGGGTGAAGTCGCGTGGAATCACAGAGAGTTTTTGGTTGAATACAAGTCACTTGATAATGAGGTTTGTGTGGATGGGTGTTACATTAAGTGCCTGTTGGAAAACGCGGACTTAAAATTGAGCGATCCAAAAGACTTCTTTGATACATTATACCACCGGTGCTTGTTTGAGACAAACCGAGAATTGCAAGCCTTGGCAATTCAAGCTATGGGAGTTGTTTACACAAAGTTTAGTTCTGACATCGGTGGGTTTAAGGACATCATCCACATTGTCTCAATGCTCAAAGCAACTCGCTCCGTCTTGCTTAGAGACAGACTCATTGGGTTGATACGGTCTCTTTTGAAAATAGAGATCAACGCAAGAAAGTTTATAGACGTGGGTGGAATTGATCTGTATGTTGAATTGGTGGCTTTGGTGCATTTGCAGAGTGAACATGCAGTTATCCCAACTCAAGTCAACTTATTGACGAACGGTCTTACAGTAGGTGAATGGTTTTATGGAATCAATTTTGGTAATGGAAAAAAGGAAAAGAAAGGACCATATACTCTCGATGAATTAAAGAAATTGTTGAACGACAAAATCATAACCGAAGATGTGATCGTTTGGGCGCAAGGGATGGAGGACTGGAAGAGTTTGAAGGATGTGACAGTACTTAAATGGTATTTGCTCAAAGAAGACACGGGTGTTTTATCACCCCTCGAGTTGTGCCACGAAATCATTGGGACGTTAGAAGATTTGGTCACTATGTACCCTTCTCGTGACATGAACGGTATTTTACTTAGACCAATTCCACGTGCAAAGAGAATATTGTCGTCGCCACGGTACCTACCACACGTAGTCCAATTATTATTGACGGCATCTCCACAATTGATTGACATAGCTGCGCGACTTCTCAAAAACCTTCTTGAAGACAACCCAACGGCACAACCCAAGTTTTACTTAACTGGAGCTTTTTACTTTGCACTGCTGTATTCTGGAAGCAACTTCAAAGAGATTTCCCGGTTGTTGGCAGCAACCCACCGACAACAACGTGTGGGTGACTCGGTGGAGTTATCAGTTGTACGTGGAATGCTTCCAGCCTCTTTGGTGACCACGTTAGACCGATCTTCTGATGAATTCGCTGCCCGTTTTGTTGGTGAAGTCGCAACACCGGAAATTCGTTGGGGAAGCAAAATGAGAAGCGTTCTTATTGACACAATTTCTCAACATTTGGGCGATTTTCCAAGCAGACTTGGCATCAACCCGCTTGCTGTGTATTCTCACGTCCCAATTGCACCAATTGTCTACGAAGAATTAAAGGGCGAGTTGTATTGTGGGAAGGTGTACCTGAAGCAGCTGTGCAACGAAGATGAATATCCGGACTACTTTATTGCAGACCCAGTTGGCTTGTTGCAATCCATTTTGAGGACGTGGGTCGAGATGGAGGATGAGCCGAAAAAAATGAGCCAGGAAGAAGCAAAAAAGGTGCTTGGGGTTGAGGATTTTGAAGACAAAAACAAATTGAGAAAGGCGTACTTCAAATTGGCGCAGAAATACCATCCAGACAGAAATCCGGAGGGAAGAGATATGTTTGAAAAGGTGAACGTGGCGTACACCCAATTGAGTGAAGCAGGACCAGAAGACAATGAAGAGAAAATCGACTTAATTCTGCACTCTCAGTGTATTTTGTACGAAAAGTGTGGTGAGGCGTTGTCTCCATATAAATATGCTGGATACGCATTATTGGTACCATGCCTACAAGATTCTAACAGAAGAAGCAGAGCGTTACAACTGGTCTATTTGACAATCAGAGCATCGACCTTGAATATCCAAGAACTTTCAAGACTCGGTGGCATGCAAATATTGCTGAAATTGTTGGACGAACTGTGTGTAAGCATTGTAGAAACAAAAGTCACAGCGATTCGCTACATTCTCAGAGCATCGGCCGTAGCCTCGAAGTACTCGCAATCGTTGTCTGAAATAAAGAAAAGCAACACATTATTTGGAAACGTGAAAACATGTCTTGGAAGTGAAATGTTGGGAGTGGTAGAGGCGTCTCTTGAATGCGTTACGTGCTTCTCGACAGACACCGAGATGCGTATTGAAATGTTCAACAAGAATTATCTGGGGTTATTGGTCAAAAGAATTTTAAGCTTCGACCCAACACTGGACGCTTCTGACCAACAGAGTATACACCAAATGAAAAATGCGATTGCTGGAATGTCGTTGTTAGCTCTGAAAGCGTTAGTGAAAATTGAAGAAAACAGCGAAGAGACCAAGGCTGTATTTTCTTTGTTCACCTTCCCACTTGGGATGATGATGCGGACAAACCCTGTTGGAGATGTTTTGACAGCAATTACATCGACGACACAAACACCTTACTTGATTTGGAACAACAAAACCCGTGGCGAGTTAAGTGATTACATAGACGCGCACCTCAGTGACACTGCGGAGTGGTCACCAAAGGAGTACTCTGGGTTCAGGTTCCTATCATTGGCAAATGAGTTGGTCATATTTGGAGTCTATGTAAGACTATTCAACGAACAAATCCGTGTTTGTGAGAAACTTGCAAACCCACTCGCTTTTCTAAAAAGTGCTATCGATCGTAAGGATTTGACTAGTGAATGGCTCCAAGAAAAAGTCAAAGCAATTGCAAATGTTTTAGAACAGTACCAAGTAGCCACTGAATTTTGCGAAGACGAAAAGATGTTGGAGGGACTCTTTGAGATGATGAAAGAAGAACCGGACGATTTAATTGTCCAAGGCTTTGTGTTCAGAAGTGTCAAACGATTAGTTTCGACAACTGCGTGTGTTGAAATCATTGCAAAGTCGCGTGTGCTTCCCAAATTTTTGATTTTACTCCACCCGGCCACGTTTTTGGATCAGGTCATTCCTCTTGTACAAGCGTTGTTCTCTGTGGTCACTGGCCTACAACAGGGCATACTCAAGGGCGGACTTTTGTATTTATTGAACCACTTTGTGAGCGGAATTGACTTGGAGCAGCGCGTGTTAGTTGCTCAACTCATTGGGAAAATGGCTGCAACGCCTTCTGTTGGGCCTAAAGTCACGCTTTCTCTTGGAAAATTTTTCCCGCCATCTATTGTTAATGCGATGAAGCTTGATGCGAAAGGTGCGGTTGTTTTATTGGATTCAACTGCTGAGACTCCGGAACTTATTTGGAATCCAGAGATGAAAAGTGATGTCGGTGAGTTTATAAGAAAAATGACACAAGCGTTCCACTCCAAACAGGCTTGCGACGTTTCTGTGAAATGGTCGATACCAGATGGGTTTTCATTCGGGTACAAAGAGCTTGAAAACGAGACGTGTGTTGGTGGCGTGTTTATAAGAGTGATGAACCAAAATCCGTCGTGTCCACTGACACATCCAAATCTCTTTACTGATGGACTTTTCACGAAATTTGCGGAGTATGCTTCCGAGAACGATGAAGAGAACACGACAGTTATTGCAAAGACGATTGCTCTGTTTTTTACCAACCAACCTAACAATATGGAGTATGTGGCGACATCTGGACACCTTTCAAAGGTTGTTGAAATCCTCAAAACAAAACCAAGCCTCAATGTGTTCGTCATTCTCCAGGTCATCGTTTCAAACGCTTCGTGTAAAGAAAAGCTAATCGAAGCAAATGCAGTGCCTCTTGTAGTAATTTGTCTTGGAAGATTACAGAAAGACACGCAAATTGTTGCGACAGTCTTCAGAGCGCTTACAACTGGAATGCAATGCAAAGGGATTATGTGTTATGTACCACACTTGCTCGATGAAATGGTTCAAAAGGCTATATTTATGGTGCTCGACGGTAATATGGACGAAAATTTGGGCAACTCGGCAGAAGAGGTGAAAGCGCTTGTTGTAGATGCATTGCAGAATGCGCTTCAGGACTCAACACATGGCCAACAGCTCAACGAAGTTTTAATGACACAGCCATCGTGGGAACAATACTCAACTCAGAAACATGGGCTCTTTTTGTCAGGAACGTCGGCAATTGCTGGGTACATTGCTGGTCCTGCGACATCTGGCGCAGTTGGTCTTCTCACTGCAGCGGAGGATGCATCAGTGAAAAGACCAGATCTTCCGCCAGACTTTTAATTTACGTTTTGTTTGCTTTTCTTTTTGAGTCGATTGGAAGTTGTACAAAAGGTGCACAACAAACAGTGCACCTTTTCTACATTTGTATAATTGAAAAACATTTCCAATCACAAAAAAGTGAAATATTTATCACTACAAATAACATTTATAAATAATGTACCAATAACATCTTTGTCATTTTTTTGATCAAAAATTGTTGACCTTTGTATTTCACTGCAAAAAATCAAATGTAATAAAAAAATATGTCTTTTTAAAAGGAAAAAACGGGATTTATTTGACAAAATGTTTGGTAGAAAATCAGCAAAAAAATACCATTTACAAAAATAGTTGGATCGAATAAAAAAGAATCAAATTTATGGAATAAAACACAAAAAAAGGATACCGTTATTTTTTTAATAACACAAAAAGGGGTTTCTTCTGTTTTCGTACAAATTCTTTGGGGATATAATTTCAAACGTATTTCGAAGGGAAGTTAGCTTGAAAATAGGCCAAGCAAATCCAAATAAAAAATAACTAAACAAAAAAGCAAAGAATTACAACGTTTCAGTTAAGAATAAATTTTTGAAGGGTGGGGGTGTTGGCTTGAAATGAGACTTCCCTTTTCCCCTTTATTTCGTTGAAAAAATACTGATTGATGGCTTTACCAACTGTTTTGATTTCTTTTTGTGAATAAACGATTTTATCAAAGAAGATGTTGACAACAGTCTCCAGTTTTGTAGAGTTGTGTTTTCCTGACGAGAAAGACGTATTAAAAACATAGCCATTAAGTCGAAGAAGATCGATAAGAAGATGATGGTTTTCAGCTATTTTATTGTTTGTGTATCGTCGACAAGCAGTTGTTTCACTTATGCCTCGTTGTATATCTTGGTTCATACTCTCTTTACATCTCTCTTCAATAAAATTTATAACATCTAAAGTCTCGTTTTCACTGTGTAACATTTTTAATTTGACGAGTTGACCAGTAACTAAGGACCTCTTAGTCGGCTTACAAATTACAAAGTCATACTTCTTGTTCAAAAGAACTAAAAAGAAAGCTTGTTCACAACTCAAGTAATTTCTTATCTCCATGTATTTTTCACATAGACGCTGTGAGTCACTTTTCTTTGTAAATTTAATCAAGTCTGTCATACAATTATACATAACTGTTTGGAGATCCCCTTTTATTATAAACCCAACTTATTATTAGAAACTAGTTTCCTGACTGTAATTATTTTCATTTGATATTTATATGGATTACAAAACACTTTAATTGCGAAATGACAATACAATATCTATTATATTACTCAACAAAAATATCGAAATTGTTTAATTTAAACTCACTTCATTTCATATTAATTCATCGGCATCCATTTTTCTATCATTTTGTGATAGAAATTCTTCAATTAACTTTTCAGTTATTTTAACCCTTCCAATACCAGAAATATACTTGTTATAACACGCATACAGATCAATATAAATTAAAATTTGTAAACTAAAAGTTATTCTAAATTAAACAGTATTCAGTTTTAATATTGTAGTTTTCAGTTCTGGTTTGATGTAACATTTATAATATATAATAAGTTTGCACGTTTTATTTTTGTATGTTATATAAATTAAAAGTCTAACACAGTTGTGTCATACATATTAGTTATAAAATATATTTTATAATAATTTAGAGTAATGTATATAAAGGTACTTTCTTAATAATGTGAAAAAGGTAGTAATGTTATTCATATACATTTAATTTATTTTGTGTAATAAAAACGAATTTTTTTAAAACGATAGTTAAGAAGAAAAATTTCGTAAATATATCTCGTATACATATGATTCTCAACAAAAGTTCATAAAGTGAGAACGCTAATAATCAGTGTGGTTGCACAACTAATATCATAATATTTAATTATTTGTTACATATATCGGAATTCAATAAAATGTCAACTTTTTTCACGTTGTTACAAAACATCAAAACATTTACAATATAAACTAAATTAAAATAATTACTTTTGGAATTTTCAAAGTTTGACGTATTCCTTGTTTTTCAAAGAAAGAATTTTTATCAGAATTTTATTTGATACGTTTTCTTATTTTAAAACCCTGTATTTAGAAAAACTTATAATGTATAGTTTATTATACTATACACAAATTTTTGATATAAAAAGAAAAAATTTTTAAACTTAATAATAATAACAGGAAAAGTCGTCAAGTTTTCCTCACAGAAAAAGTGAACCTTTTTTCAACAAAAATACGATTTTAGGTTAAAATTTACTATTAATTTGTAGTAAATTTAATTATTTTTTACTAATAATTTTGTTTCCTGGTATTCCCCATAGTTGTAAAAAGTTTAAAGCGTTTTTTGCATGATTTCTTTCTAATATACACTCAAAATGAATAAGATATAAATAAGTTTACATTTTTTGGAAATTTTTGGTACCGGAAGGGTTAAAAATCGACAAGTTTTTTCAATAAAACTATTTTTAAAATTATTTTTTTCTAAATAATAAACAAGTTTATTATTATAATAAATGAATTTTACAATTTATATTTTATTGGTGCAAATTAACTCAACATGATTTTCTATATTAAAAACAGTCTCAGATTACTCAATTTCTTAATTAATATAATTGGTTCCGATATTTCTTTTACTTAGATGTTCATATAACAATCGATATCAACTTTATTATATGATTCCAAAAAATAACAATAAATAAAATTGTCTTGTTTTAAAAATAGTTTTCTAAGTGAACACAATAAGAAATGAATAACATAACATTAATAATAAAGCGAAAAACACAAAGTTATATAATTTAGTGTATGTACTTTTTTGTCAACGTTTTAGTTTGTAACAGACGATTTCTAATTATTTCTATACCAAACACCATAAATTAAATGATAATTTTAATTTAATTCGCAAAGCAATTTTTTTAATATGGAATTTTGTGACTTTTAATTTTTAGTAATAATTTTTTTAATTAATTCTCGACAATTTTGTTAGTCAAATGTGTATTTATTAATAAATTTATATTTTGGTAAAATTTTTCAATGTTAAGTAAAACATTCAATAAAAAACAGGTTGGTATTTTTTTCAACTAAAACAAAAAGACCAAGATGATTTATTTCAGAGTTATTTTAAAAATATTGTTTAATTATTTTTCTAGTATATAAATAATAATTATTATAATTATTTTTTTATTAACTCAAAACATAAGATTCTATTAGTAATTGTTATTACTATTTTTACTATATTTATTATATGAAAAACTGTGTAGATTTTTTGAAACAACAATAATTAAAAAATACTATTTTTGATTAAATTGTTAATCATTAAATTATTGGTTTAATTATTACAGATACAGGAAAAACCAGGTACCAAATCATAAACCAGGGACCAGACTAAATTAAGCTGTTTTATTTTTGGTATTAAGTTTCCTTGTTAAAGTAAAATCCCCAAATAATCGGGGTTTTGGAGGATGTGTTGGTTTATTTTTAAAAATTGGGGACCAAGTATTAATAGACACACTGTTTTTAAAATAAAATAGAAAAAACTACAAAATATGAAACTCTTAATTAATCATTCGAAGCTGCCTCTATTGTTAATGCCCAGCCGAGCAAAAGTAAAGTTTGTTTTTTATATTGATTTATCTTCCGTTGTTTAATACGTTTAATGATCATCTATCATTTACTGAATGTCTAACATTCCAATAATTTATTCGTTATTCTCTTTATTTTCATGAACGGCATGAGTCACTTTTAATACTGAACGAAAAGTGACTCATTGAATCAACCTAGTCTTCTCTATTCTACTCATTGAATAGAGAAGACTACAACATCTTCTTTGAAAAAATGAATGAACGATTTAATTGAATGGTTGTGTTGAAGTTAAACAAGGTTAAACAAAACAATATTTTTTTTATAATTAAACAATAATAAATAATAATAAACTTACTATTATAACTCACATCAACTGTTGTTCATTCATACTTTAAACAACACATTCATTTTTTTCATCCCGAAAAATGACCATTTTTAAGACCAAATAATAAGAAAATTACACATTTATTTATATATTTGCCCGTTTTATTGTATAAAATCCGCTTAATATTCAATAGCTAAAATTAGTCTGGTCCCCGGTTTTTCCTCAATATGTACAATAATTTTTAAACGCCAATATAAATATACTAATGTCAATAATAAAACTTAAATTAATTTTGTTTTCATAATTATTATAATAATTATAGTTAATTTTAACAATAAGAAATTGTTCTTTTATAGAACAAAAATTAACTATATTTTAATTATTAAATACTTTTTGCAACAACTCGTCTTTTTGTCGCAACACAATGTTTTCCCATTGTTTGTAATAAAGAGCAAATAACTGTCTTCTCTTTTCATCTTCTATACACACCCGTTCAACTATTTTAGGAGCACATTCTGCATATGTAAAAACACCAAGACCTATACCACTGCCACGAGCAGCTCCACTTGCTGTATCGCTGTCATATATCTCAACGACTTTATTCGTTACTCCGGACAACGTCTCTACAAAGACATTTGAGAGAAATAAATTTGCTTTGCACGCCTTTATAGTATTGATGTGAATGCCCATATTTTCAATATGTTTAATTCCATACGCAAATGAAAACGCAATGGACTCTAACGACGCCCGAATGAGATGTCTTTTATCATGAATGAAAAAATTGATACCGTGAATGGAGCAGTTCATGTCCAAATTTCCAAGAATCCTCTCGGGTCCATTGCCAAAAGGTATAACAAGAAGACCGTCAGAACCTATTTGAACTTGTTCACTTAATTCATTCATTCTAGTGTATTCTGCGCCAATAACTTTCTTCATGAATGAGTACAAACACCCACATCCACTGATACAAAGCAACACTCCATAGTGTTCATTCTCTGTCGAGTGATTCACATGAAGAAACGTATTGACTTCGTTTGTCGAGTCTTTCACTTTGTGTTGAGTGATGCAATACACAACTCCTGATGTTCCAGCAGTCGAAGCAACTTCTCCGTCATGTAAACAATTCAATGTAAATGCGTTATTAGGCTGGTCACCACTTCGATAACAAATTTTGACGTTTTGAGGGATTTTCAGTTCCTCAGAAACACTTAACAGAAGTGTTCCTTGAACTGAAAAGGTGTCGACTTTATCACAAAGTTGTGATAGTTTCAGACCGCACATCGATACCATTTCTTCACTAATAGATTGTGTGGTGTAATCCCATAACATCATTTCTGAAAGTCCAGAACAAGTAGTCTGCATTTTACCACTCATTCTATATGCTATATAATCTCCTGGTAACATCACTTTATATATTCGCGAGAAGACTTCGGGCTCATGCTCTCTCACCCATCCAATTTTCGATGCAGTAAAATTGCCTGGGAGATTTAATAAATGCTCTTCACAAAACTCTGCTCCAATCATTTCTTCATATCGCTTGCCATATGAAATCCCTCGTGAATCACACCAAATAATACTCTCCCGCAAAACTTGACCATTTGCATCCAAAAGGACTAATCCATGCATTTGATATGAAATCCCAATACTCTTGATTTGGTCGGTTGAAAGATTTGAAGAAATACAATAAGACACTATCGAGTGCGTCACAGCAACTACACTGCGCCACCACTCATCTACATTCTGCTCAGCAAAACCAGGCGACTTTACTTTAATTGGCATTTCAGTGTTCGGTGACTGTGTCGTGAAAAGTGTTGAATTTGTTGAAATGTCAATTAGTGACGCTTTAACAAAAGAACTGCCAATGTCATACCCCAATAACATTTTCTATTTTTCTTTGTTTTAAGTTCGCTTTTTGAATAGTTTTTTTATTATAATTATATTAAAATTATACTAGAAGATAGTTATATTCATTCATAATAGTTTAATTAACTAATGTAAAATAAATTGTTTTATTGATAAATATATTATAATATTACTAAAATTTAAACTAATATAACAATACAAGAAATAAACTCTAAATATTCATATTATAGTAAAAATAGAAAAATAAAACTATATTTTGTAATATATTAAACATTAATAAAATACTAGGTTTTTTACAATTTCAAAATGAATATTAGATTTATTATTTTTATTAAAGTAATAAATTAAAACAAATAAATTATAACATTTAATAAAAAAAACTATTATAATAGTTATATTAATAAATTAATACCACAAAGTATAAATCAATACAAGATGTTTAATGAAATGCAAATCTTCTTCAGAAGAGGATTTTGTGCGAATATAATGTCGAATGTTCTTAAACAACGACACTGATCTTCTCAGCCTCTTTTTCGAATTCTGGGCTTGGTGTTCTCTCCAAAGAAACTCCTCTGAATTTCTTAGCTTTCACATCTCCATTTTTGATAATAAGATAAGCTCCTAAATTCACATATCTTCCACAGAAATAATTAGGAGCAGAGAACACTGTGTATAAAATAGGAATATCTTCTATCATATAATACATTTCCTTATATCCATCTTCTTCATATTCATGTCCTCTAATGATACTAGTCAATTGATTCTCGAGTAAGAATTGCTTCATATAAGAATACCCAATTCTCTTTCCCCAATTTCTTTTAGTATTTGGAGTCGATTCAACAGTCATCCATTTCTTCACTTCTTCCAAATTCTTACCTTTAAAGTAATTATTTAACTCACTGAGATCGTTATTGGTAGTGTTAATTGTACTTGCAGCGTAATCATATTTGCCAAGTGAGGCGTCGTACATTTCTTCTTCATTAATAGGATCGTTCCATAACATTTCACCCAATTGAGTGCCTTTTTCAGGTTCACAGAACCGATTCAATTCGTTAATTGCAGCAATAGTAGTGAGGCCTGGAGTGACATTCCCATGGACACAGAAGTATTTGTTATTGACAACGGCTGCGATCGGAAGGGTTTGAAAGACAGAGATGAAACTCTCATAAATCTCTTCGTTGTATTTAGAGAGACACTCCGCTTTAAATGTGTTCTTCTCACTCATCGCGCGAGACTCGTGATTTCCTCGCAAGAAGATGAACCTCTTTGGCGACGATATTTTAAGAGAAAAGAGCATCAAGACAAGTTCAACACCAAACTCCCCTCTATCGACATAATCTCCTAAAAAGACATAACGAGCCGCTTGTGTCTTTTCAAGTAAGGAAACAGTGTCATAGAACTGTCCATGAGTGTCTCCTATGATAAGAGTTTCGACGTTGTCATTCAAGTCAACTACATTTGCCTCTTTTTGGAATAAGTTACTTGCCACCTCGTTGATGTAAAGTACTGCGCGATCAGTTAATTTGCCTTGATTCATCAAATGGTGAAGAATGATGTTAACATTGATCGGGTCGATTCGCGTGACATCATTATAATCGAGTAAGGTCTGTGAAGAAAACGTGCTCTGCATCAACGAATTGGACTGAATTAGTTGGATGACTTTTTGTAGAGAAAAGAATCTATTTCTATTTTGTTAGATGTATATCGGGACAGTCTAATCTCAGACTGTTATTTGGGCAAAATCAGTTGACCATAATTATCGCTTTTAATAGTTTATTAGAGATAAATGTGAATAATTGGGTTATTCGAAGAAATTTTATTTAGTTATAATACTTATATACCATGTCGTTGAATTTGCCTTTTTCCCTCATTTTTTTTTTCCTAATTCAAGCCAGTTTTGCAGTTTTTTTTGTTGAAAGGGCAAAGTACCGCGCTCATCTCCAAACCCGAAGATTTTTGTCGTTTTTGGATGTCTTAGTACTAAAATAATTGAAATTAAGAACAAAAGTTTTGTTTTTTGTGGCAAAAATGTTTAGACAGCATTTAGAAAAAAAAATACTTTTTTTTGTCAATAGAAAGTTGGTTTATTGTTAATTATTTTTGGTTAATTATTTGAGTCTATGTTTATTTTTTATGTTGTTCTGGTTATAATAAATTACATAATAAGGTCTTTCTAGTTTTGGAGTTGACTAAAGTCGAAATTCGCAATCCCGTAAAAATAAAGTTATAATATTGTACTAAATAATAGTTTCATAAATTATATATATGATTTCAGAACGAATTAATTTATTTTTTTATTGTTATCTTGTAATAGATTAAAAAATGGTGGGTTTAAAAACAATAATAGTTTGTAAATAAAAGTTAACTTCATTAACAATAAATACGATGTCCCTTCAAATTTCCACAAATTAGTACCACTATATTTGTTATTTATACACAATTATTATATATTAAAACCGACATGTACGTGTAAAAACATAATAATACATTTATGACTTTAATCTAAAATTCAAATTAATTAAACTTTTTATTAACAAACATTAACTATAATTTTTTTAAAATAATTATTAAACTAATATATTATAGTTTTGTATTATCAATTTTAAACAATTTTTCAAAACTATAAAATACTACACAAAAACTAAAATAATAACACCCAAAAATTATAAAAAATTAAATTTTTATTATTTATGAAATTATTTTTTCACAAAAAATAAATTTTTTCTAAATTATAAAATACTATGATTGATCAATAAAAATAATAATAAAATTATTAAAAATTAAATTAATATATTTCTATTATTAAATACTAATCTTCAAAGAATTTAATTTTATTTATTAAAATCTTTTTTTATTGAAAAAACTATTAAGAATTTATTGAAAACTTTTTGTTGTTTTATATTTTTTAGTTTGGTTTAGAACAATCAACCAAACTAAAAAATTATTCTTTTCAAAACTTAATTGAATGAAATTTTAATTCATCTCTCTCATTGTTGTCAATTTCGACATCATATATTTCATCCACTATAAAAGATGAATTGTATATGATGGAGTCATTGACATATTTTTTTCGAAATTTCTGATCTTTTGAATTAACAAGTTGTCAAGTTGATTTTTTGGAACGCTTATTTATATACCATGGATTAAAAGCACGCTTCCACATATGATTGAATTGTTTATTTGTTGGTCACTCTATACCCAATTGTTTGGCTAAAGGCGTAAATAATATTTATAGTAAAATAACTATAAAATTAATTATAAAACAAATTCAGTTATCTTCGTCGATCAGTTCCTCATAGTCTTCAGAATCATCTTGGTCTGAGTCATCAGTATCCTCGTCCGAGTCTGTCATTTCCGAGTCGTCATATTTATCCATTTGGTTTCTTAAAAAGTATAAGCTGTTAGGTATAATATCATTAGCAAAATAAAACACGGACCTCAATTGTTCGTCGACTGTTTCTTCAATTTCATCGCCCTCTTCAGACACCGAGTATTCTTCCTTTTGATTCACTGGCTCAAAAAAGTCGAAGAAGCTACTTTCAGTACTATCAACAAATTTGGGCACTTTGCCATCATAAAAGACCACCCCCGAACTCTTTGTTATTCCATTTGTTCATTGAATCAAAACAATGAGCAACAAACTTCACTAATTTACCACAGGTATACGTGTCATTGTATAAGTACGATATCTTCTTTGATAACTCAATATCAGGAAACCACTCGTTTTCTTCAAAGATAAAATTCAGTGTATACCCAACTCGTAATCTCTTCTTGTCTCCAACAACTAAATCAGGGGTGACTATCTGATTGAACCCAGAAAGTCGAACGTCCTTCAAATAGTCTAACACAACTAGATCTGTAGATGTGCTCCCAATCTTCTTTAATACACCAGAGTTCACTATGACGTTTTTCCAGTAGTGTTTAATGCTCTCGCGCGACTTCGACTTCACGTGAATGTGTTATATAGAACAGTCGAGTAATTTTAATAACATTTTGTAAAACATTTTTGATGAAAATCAACAAACGTATGAGTTCACCTTTTGGTGAAGGGCTTTGAAAGACTCCCACATGGTAAGGTCATATTGAAGATATAAGTTATCAAATTCGGTCTGCTGGGGCTCGACTTCATTTGTGAGTATATCAATTTCTTCTTTTGTTGCGTTCGAGAGGAAATCTTGATAGGTTTTATCGACCGCGTCTCTCTCTCCCATGACTGTGTTTATTAGTTTTTATATAGCTTAATTCTATTAGTTATAGTACATTTTTCTCCTCTATTGTTCTAATATATTAAAATGATGCTATAGTTTATAGTAATAGATATATTTAATAACTCCAATGTATTATTATAGCATTGGAGTTTTTTAAAACACTTTTCTCAAGTAAACACACCCATTTTGTTGAAATCCATCAAATTGTCGGGTAAATCGGGATAAAGGAACTAAATATTTACCAATACAAATAAACGACTTTTTATTCGAAAAATAGGGAAAACTTGACTGATATAACACACAACTAATTTATTGTTTGATAAAAAAGCGAATTGGAATTCTTAAAAACAACTAAAAAACTGATTGAATGAGTAATACTTCCACTAACGAACATAAAGGTCCCCCACATGGATCTAGTCGTGTTGCCGCTATGATTAAAGCACGGGAGAAAGAAGCTAATGAAAGAAAGGGATTTTCAAAACCTCTTAAAACAACTCCTCCAAATCCTTCAACATCTAACACAACACCTGTCTCGAATCCAAAAGTAAATCCACAAACTACCACTTTCAAAAACGTAAAACAAAGTCCACATAATACTTCAAATACTTCACCTCAACCTTTTCTTCAGACACAAAAGCGGTTGGCTCTTCCAAAAAACACCGAAATTCCACTCGAAGTCAAAGAAACATCACACAAAAAGGAAATCACCCCACGGCAAATCGAAATCATCAGTGCAACACCACAAAAAGATGACAAAGTTGGTTCCCCCAAACAAAAGAGTCAATTGAATCAATTGGCACAATCCACTCCAATAACCACCAAAAAAGTTCCATCACAAAAAATCGACGTGAAAATGACGGCATCCACTACTCAACAGCAAACAACAGATAGCACGGACACTTCAAAGAAAGAACAAGTCGATATCCAACACCCCGAAAAAGATATTTTGAACGACCAAATTTTCAACTCAGCACATTATACACCGGACGATGACTACGACAACGAAATCAAAGAAAAACCACGGAAAACACTCAACGCGAAAAAAGTGACCAAAAAATCAAAAAAGTCAAAAAAGAAACCGCAAAAAGTCGAGAAAGTCGAAAAGGAAGAAAAAGACGAAAAAAATGAGACTGTCGCACCACAACAACAAGAAAAGCCAATCGAAAATTTAGAACTAAACACAACCGAAATACCACAAGACGCTACTTTAGGTCAACCCGACATCTTAAATGATCTTGATTTTAACACGGCAATTAGTGGAACAACTGATGACGATTACGAGAAATCGGCTCCAAAAAAGCGTAAAGCCCTCAACGCGAAGAAACCCAAATCGAAAAACGCGAAGAAAAAAATGAGAAGTACGAAAATTGACGAAAGCGACAGTTTGACGACGTCGACAGAAATGTCGGATACCGCCAACACAAATGACGAAGTTATAAAAGTCGAGAAGTCTCCACGGAACCTCAAAGGCGACGAAAAAATGGTTCAAAGCTCGCCAAATCAAAAATTGCAAAGCGACACACCAATTGAGAGAAAGAACTCGACGGGGTCATTACATATGCCATCACCATCCGCTCCACCTATTAACCCATTTAACATTAAAGAACATATCAGTGAAGATAAGTTACAAAATGAAGATCCGATGGTGACCAAAATTCTGCGAGTCGAAGTAGATAAGAAAGAGTTAGTCTACAACATTGCGAATTCGATTGGAAGAGGGGCTTTTGGAGAAGTTTTAAAAGGGATGAATGCGGACTCTGGGGAGTTTGTAGCGATCAAACAGATGAAAGTGAACAAGAAAAGTGTGTTAAAAGAAGTTGAAGAAGAGATCAAATTATTGAGGTTTTTGAAGAATGATTATATAGTGAGGTATATAGCGTCAACACAAAGCTTTGGATGTTTATATATAGTAATGGAGTATATGGAGTCTGGGTCCTTATTAAACATTGTGAAACAATTCAAACAATTGAATGAAGTCTTGACAGCGAAATATATCTATCAAGTGTTAATAGGGTTAGAATATATTCATTCCCAAGGTATAGTTCATCGTGATATTAAAGCTGCTAATATATTAGTTGCTAAAGATGGAAGAGTCAAAATTGCTGATTTTGGAGTGTCGATCCAAACAAGCGATTTGGAAAATGGGAACAGCGAAGACCCAATTGGAACACCAAATTGGATGAGTCCTGAAGTGATTCAAATGCAAGGAACGACAGTCAAAGCAGACATTTGGGCACTTGGTTGTACGATTCTGGAATTAATTACTGGAAACCCTCCGTATTGGGATCTTAACCCGACGGCTGCACTGTATAGAATATGTACAGATGATCACCCACCATTTCCACTGAACGCATCTCCACTTCTTAAAGTCTTGTTATTGGACTGTTTTAAGACGGATATTAACATCAGAGCGTCATCAAAAGAATTGTTAAGTAATGAATGGTTCTCTGCAAATGGAGTCAAGTTGATTGATACGACTCCAAAGGTCTCAAGGCCTTTAACATTATCGAAACCCCCAACACTACCGAAGCCAAAGGGAAGCGTTGCAATTGACTCAGTAAAGACTGGGGACATCGACGACTGGGGCGATGAATATGAATTGGAGTTGAACGCCAAAGAACCAGCAAATACACCAAAGAAGCAACTCACAACAAAAACAGTTGTAGCGACTACGGCAGAGGATTTGGACTGGGGCGACGATTTTGGACCGAACACGCCAACGAGTTTGAGCGGAACTTTGAAGGACAAAAGTGCTACTAAACAGAGTGTTACGCCACTTACAAAGAAGACTACTGCTGTTGAAATAGATGATGATTGGGGCGATATCGAATTTCCAGAACCAAAGGGTGGGCAAAGTCCTATAAAATCGAATGAAAGTGTGAAGAAGACGGACAGTGCTGATGACATCTTTGAGAAGATGAATGAAGACGACTCTGGGGATGGAATGATGAAGATAGCAGCTTTAGATGCTGAAGTGAGTGTGAGTGAGAAGAAACAAAAGTTCTTAAGTTTGATTAAAGACATGTCACGAGTCATCGATTTGATGCCAAAGGACTATTCGGCACGAGTAGAGAAGATTATAATGGAGTTGACGAAGGTGTGTTACGAGAAAGAGTTTACAGAGATGGATTCTATATTACATATGGTAGGGATTATGCCGGTGTTTGCTGTCTTAGAACGAGAGGAATTTAGTAATGTTGTTGATTTGAGATATAATGCTCTTAAAATCATTAATACAGTCATATCCAAAAGTGGAAGAGGACGAATGAATATCATGTTAAGTGGTGGGATGACGATCATTAACTTTGGACTCTCCCAAGCTAAGATGAGTGATAAAGTGTTGAGCGAGTTGACCAAATTTGTGAGTGTGATATTAGCGGATAATACGAATAAATATCAACTTGCGCAAATGTTTATTAATTGTGGGGGGCTCACGATATTGAGTCAAATTCTTGCGATGAAATACGACACGTTTTCGTTCAATATCGAAACTATATTGGATGTTTTGATCAAATTTGTGAAAGCGCAGACGGAGGATATCACCAATCGAATAGAAATTTGTTCGAGAAATATAATAGTGTTATTGTTTTTGAAATACAAGATCATCGACACGTTGATTCAATTTGTGTGTAAAACAGTCGCATTGAAGGAGTTTAATGCGGCCTTGAAAGCGATCACATTATTGAATCAAATAGTGGACAGTGTAGTGAAGAATGATAACACGTGGATCAAGCCTGAGATCTCCCATCGTATCATTTTGAATGATTTGTTATTAATAAAAATTGATGAAAAGACGGTAGATGCCAATTATGTCCAAGAAGAAGTCTTGTTTAATATTAGTCGACTGTGTAAGAATATGTTAAGTGAAAGTGACGAAGAGATCAGAGAACATCTTCTTGGAGCGAAGATCATCACTTTCTTGTTACGCGTGCTTGACAGGTGTAATCGTCTTGACCCGGAAATGAAAGAACGCGACAAGACCAAAACCTCAAAACCGATATTGAAGAAGATGATGAAGAAAGGGGTTATTAACAATGTCATCCAATGTCTTAACTGTATTATACTCAACGCACTGCCACTTGAGAAGAAGTTTTTCAGTGAATTCTTGACCTTCCCCAATGTATTCAATTTGCTTAAAAGCTATTGTGAAACGGCAAAGAATGAGTCTTCAGTGATGAGTGAAGTGACTGTCGATATTATGCTGAAAATAGCGAGTGCTTTAACTAAATCTAATAAGTCTTCCGACTTCATTATTAACAATGGGATCACTTTCTTCATCGACCACATCGCAGTCATCGGCCTCCGCGCGCACTTCTTCAGCGCAATTCAAGCGTTATATTTGGCAAATACAAAACGCGGGTTGGCGGAACTCTCTGTGGACATTTCTGTTCTTCGGATGGCGAAAATATTGAAAGCAGCGAAGTACGAAGACAATGTGAGTTTGAATGAACTGGGCGACTTCTACAGAATGATTTCGGACCAGAAGTTAATAGCGGCCAAACTTGCAGATTCCGTCTTTTTAAATGCCTTCTCATACGCCGTCCAGTCGATTCCAACAGACCTCATTGAAGCCAAAAAGAAAGGAGAAGAGTGCTTGAAACTCTTACTGATTGCGCATCCCGATTTGGCGTCATGTCCGTTCCACAATAAGATCATCACTAATTTGGAGTCTATAAGAGATGATGGTCTTAAAGATGGTAAAATAGTTATTTCTCGAATGGCCGAAGAGTGTATGGACATTCTTAATAAGGCAAGTAACGATTCAAATACTAAGAAAATGCCTTCAATCAGTAAACGAATCAAAGACGACCACAACGCACATAAACGTGGAGAGTCTTGGATCGCTTCTTTCGGCACGAGAAAGGACAAAGACGAGACGAACTCCGAAGAAAAGAGTGAGAAAAGCGAGAAGAGTGAAGATTCCAAAAAGTCCGAAAAGAGTGAGAAATCAGAGGACTACAAAGAGCCAAAAACACCCAAGAGAACAAGTGGGTCAAACATGAAGAATTCAACAGTCCCACTCGACTCCCCAAGAGATCAGAAATCACCAGACCACCCTCAAATCAAGAAAAGAGGGTTCTTGACCTTCGTAAAAAAATAAGATGTGTTTGAAGTGTTATCTTTCTCTGTTATGTTATACTTTCACTCCTCCTCTCCGTGTTTTCTGTATAACGAAATTGCTTTAAAACGCATTTTTTAGTGTGAAAAAGGATGTCCTTGACTCAACCTTAGATGCCATCTTTGGGAGGTTCTACCTATAAATAAAAACTATGTGTTATAGTAAAATAACCATATCAGTATAACAACCCGTATAATTATGAAAACATTATTGGAGCCACTCCAAGACAACTACCTTCTTGATTTCGTTGGGAAAGTCCCAGTCCTTCACTCCGACAAAGAGATCCCCTCCGAGCTTCGACGTGTCTTCGTATTTTTCAGAGAAGTGATGCCACAAGAAGACGACGTTGTCCATACATATCCAGAAACAGTAATTGACCCAGACGACATTCTCTGTATCGTTGTCTCCGTAAACGAAGAGTAAATCGCCGTTAGTGGGTAATGGGGCAAATCGAGTTGGCGGATAGTTAGTGGGGTTGTTTAAAGTGAATACAAAGTGTTGTTTGTCGTCGTTGACCCAGACGTCTTGTGTTGGCGGCAATACTGTATGATAGCTCCCAAACATATATCCGTCGACAGTCTCGACGACTATCATCATATTCTTTAACTTTTTGGTCAACGACCAAAAGAGTTTTGGCGTCAAATTGTTACCTTCAAATACAACACGCGCCTCAGACATCCCCGTCCACTCTTGTAATGTGTTATAATACGTCCCGATACTTCCCATCGACAAACTCTCTTCAACGGGTTGCTTCATGTGTTCGTGTTTCTCGACTTCTTCTATCGTTTCAAGCTTCTCTATTTTGTGTGTTAAGTCGATGGAATCTTGTTGTTTCATTTTGAGGTAATCAACCACCGAAGTTAACAGTGAAATTGTTTCAAGTAAAAGTGCATCATGTGGATCGCATTTTGTTGGGTCGATTATTTTAAGTGCATTTTGCTGTAACATCTTCGAGTGCTTCTTTAACACTTCAAAGATCGTCTCTTCCATCCAAATCTGCTCTTTCCAAGTTCTTTACAGTTTCTTTTTTCTTTTTGTGTTGTTCTAGTTCTCTAATGTAGTTTTACTAATTATTACTATAATATACTTATCACTAGTTTGATTATAATATCATAATTATAAAATCATTACTAATAAAAACAACAATTTCGGAGATGAATAAATTACAATCGAAGTTAATTATAGTAAATAATACTATATTGTTATAGTAATTAATACTCGATTAATTTACTATAAATTCATTTACTAGTAAATAACAAATACTATATTTTATACTAAAATTAAATTAAAAAAAACCACACAGAAAACCTCATTTTTTCTTCTTGTCTTTTTTATCCTTTTTGGAGTCTTTTCCCTTGAGGGGTTCCTCCGTGTGAGGGACATAATTGATGTCGCGTGTAGGTGGTTCTTTACTGAAGTCATATGTTTTATCTTTAACGCCAGTGATTGTTTCTGCCACATTTTGAAGATTAGTGTTAATCATTGATGAAGCCACGACGACGATTTCCTCGAAGATTTCTCGTTTCACGCCTTCCAATATGCCACACATGATTTTTGAATTGATGAGAGCGTTCTTCCATTCTGTGCGTTCTTCGACTGTTTTTGCCTTTAAGATGTACTTCACGCCATCGACCTCGATATCAAGGAGCGCTTCTTTCACTTCCTTCCCTTTTTTCAGTTCAATGGGTTCTTCGGTGAGTATGCAATTCTCAAGATCCAAGACCTTTCCTTTCTTCTCCATGTCTTTCTCGGAATCCGCGTAATACAACTTCCCGAAGTCCGTTTTTAAAAAGGCTTTGTGCGTCTTTTTATCGCCAAATTGGACTGTCCCACTGTGCCGGATCTGCCCAACCAAATCAGCAACCTTTGGGAGACAATCTGCTGGTCTCGCAAATTTGATACTCTTCGAGACAATTTTCAGGAGTTCGGTGTTGGAGATCATCGTGAATGACGTCGCATAGTACATATCCGCCTTTTCCTTCAATTCCTTCGTCTCAAACGACACGCGGAATTCACTCGCAACGTCTTGTTTGTTCCCAAAGACAACTACTTTTGCTTTAGTATTGATGCTTTTAAATTTCGTGAATGTCTCAAGAGCATAGTTGTAACTCTCTTTACTCGACAAGTCAAAGACCAGATACAATATATTCACATCTAACAAGTTCTTAGCTCTCAGCATTGTCATGGTCTCTTCCACTGACGTTGTGATGATCGCTGTATTTCCTCTTTCTTTATTGAACCCAGCTATCTCTTTAATATTCCCCGGCGAGTCTATGATCTTCAACGTGAAACTCTTCTTAGGATTAAACAACTCAAACACCTTCGAGCGCGTCGCAAAGTGTCGCGTTTGGATGTATTCATTGTTCTCTTCAGCTAAGATCCGCGACATTAATGTCGACTTCCCTACTAACGAATCTCCCAGAATCAATAACTCGACGTTGTCATTGCCTGTAGCACTTTTCGTGACATCCTTCTGCTCATACACTTCTTTCAAAAAGTCCGACAATCCCTCTAATGAATCTGTAAAGTGCATTCCTCTCTCTTTAGTATGAATCCGTACCGACTGACATGGCCCATATGCCGCATCGCCAACTATCGCAATGACATTTTTAGACTCCGCATTCTCCTGTCCAAACGTCTTAAAACACATTTCTTGGACTTCGTCAAGTGTCGCCGCACTCTCAATTTCATTCTGCGAGACAACTACAATGAACGCCTTTTTCCCAGCAAAGTGAAGTTCTTTGAGTGGCGCCGAGTTCTCAAAGCCAACAAGTGGCGTAAATCGGACTTGAAAGACAGACGACCCGTATGGGGTATCATATTTGAACGTAGTTGAAGTGATGATAGAGCTCCGTATCCCAACTATTTTATTTAAGAACTTCTGTGTCACTTCCGGAGAGTGTGAAGTTATTAAGACATCTAAAAACGCAGTTTGTCCTGCAGTATCCTTCAATCCAATCGCTTCTATATATTTTTCTGTAAACGACGTCTTCGGTAGAGTCTTGTACTTGTCAGACTCATGTTGAGAATACCCATACGTGTTACTCATGTCTGTTTAACAGTTCGTTTTCAAGTTCATCTTTTTATTCATCTGCTTTTTCTTTTTTCGATCTTCCTCAAAACATTTTTTTAATTAAATGGGTGTTTGTAAAAATTCATTTGTAGTTACTATAATAATAGTTTTGTTTTATTTCAATTGGATAGTTCAATATATTTTTTTATCGGTTTTTTTATAGGAAGAGTATCAGTTTGTTATTCATTATATTTGATTATACTATATTATTATAGTTTTATTTTTTGATTAGTACCGATATCAAGATTGTAATTCAAAGAAAAGATGTTTAAAAACATGATATTTTTTTGTACAAAGATATTTTGAAAAATAATTAATAGTTAAATTTCATTTATTAATAAAAAAATACATCTAACTTAAGTATTTTATATATTAAATACAATTATAGTATATGATAATTAATTAAATTGTATATAACTAAATTATCCTTTTTATAATAATGTATATAGTTTTTTTATTATATTATTTAGTTGTAATGTTTTATTAGTAAATAATAATTAAAAAATTAATATTGTAAAAAGTTAAAATTAAAATAAAATAAAAAAACAAAAACAAAAATAAAAATAAAAATAAAAATAAAAATAAAAATAAAAATAAAAAACAATCTTTTTTAACCAATCAACTCAGTAATTTTATTTTATTCTCTAACAGCAAAACGGTTATATATATATAGTTTTTATTTTTGTACCCATTTTCCCGACTTTATAGATAGAAAACATTCTATTTGTTTTGAAAACATACCACATATTTACTCATTTTGTTATTTGTCAAGTTTTTTATACATTTGCAAAATCATCAGATGAAGATAAAATGCGAAATTATGAAGAATCATAAAACAACTATACAATCAACTATAATAATTAATCATTTGTGATAAAAACGACTTAGAAAAAGAAAGTATAAAATCGAACGATTTCAGTAGAGTCAGTCTTTTAACTTTATATGGTGGATAAAAAAATAGCTTTAATTTTGTCTAAACATCGGGCATTAGGTAAAACGTGAAAAAACCCGAAACAATTGGGATGGATTTTTGGTACGGATTCCCGAAATATTCCAATTCTTATGGTCCAAAAAGTACCAGATAATGTTTAAAGACAGACTGTGCTATGGTTTCTAAATCCAAAAATGTTTGTAAAAAATAAATAAACACATCACAATTTGGAGACCCCATCGATAATTCTGCCGAGCCCGTCACATGCGACGGGGAAAAGTGGTTGTTTGATCTTAGTGTTGTAGACGTAGCTCTTCATCCAAGAGAATTCTCCACTGTGTTTCATCGGCTTCATCATAATGAAGTCTGCTGGTCTAAAGTGAGCAATGAAATGTCCTTTACTATCGAGAATGACTAAATATATAGTAATACCGTTATCAGTGTAAGGGGTAGAGTCCCAGCCAGGGTTTTCGTTGATGATAGAACTTCCTGTATGGAAATGATAGGTGTGTGGCGATGTTGAAACACTTTCGGGGACTTTTGGTGTTTGAGGAAAAGGACTTGGCGAAGGTGTCTTGGTTGTTGATGGGAACAAGGTGTTCTCCATTGCAATAATTGAGTTCCCCAACAATATCAACAATTGGGTATTTATACTACGAAATATCACTCATGGGTGTAATACGTCAAAAGCTATTTTGAGGCGGGCCAAATTCAAGAAATCGTTAAACCAAAAGTCCATTTTTTTTGTGTCGTGGTTCTATTACTAGATTTTATTAATTGGAAATACTATTACATATGATTTCCAAAGAATAGTTTATAAAAAAAACAAAAAAGTGGATTGTGAAAGAAGGTTTGGCATTTTGGTAGATGAAGTCAAATTCGAGTTTGAAGAAAAGAAAGTCAATTTGATTTATTTTTTGGAGAATTGTTCTTTATAGATGTTAAACATTTAAGCCCAGAAAAGTCTGAATCAATAGGTTATTTACCATATATTTCTAGTAATTTATAAATAGTAAGAAAACCAATTTATTATTAAACTATTTATTATTATTTTTTTTTATATTTACTAAAAGAATAGTACAAATTATACTTAAAAATTGGGATTGTTTGGTGACATGATAAAAAATGCTTAAAACTTCAAATTAAACTCAAAAATACTATTCAATTAATAATAAAGTAATTTTAATTATAATTATTCTTATTCTTTTTAATTAAACACACCAAATTAATAAAAAATACAATATTAACACTTTAAATAACATTGAACAAAATTCAAGTGGTCTAAAAATCGGGGAAATATCGAGTTTATTAAATAAATTTCCGTTTTTTTAGAGATTGTGTTATGTGAACAAACAATACACAAGCCAAAAAAGGAAAATTATCAAAAATTGGATTAATATCCCTAGTAAAACAGGTCAAAACAAAAATAAGGGTGTTATTTAAGTGTTAATAAAAATACAACTATAAAAAAAAAAAAAAAGATTTGCATCAATTTTTTAAAAAGAAAAAAAAATCAAATTAAAAAAATCTAAAAAAATTGAACTCAAAAATTTTCGAATGTTGACAACAACGTTTTTGTTCTTTTTAATTTCATTTTCCTTTTCAGTAAATCCAAACAACCGCGCTCAGAAAAAGGCCGAGGCTGCCTCTGCGAAAAAAGGAGAGACGAAAAAAGACAAACCAAAGAAGAGTTTAGCCAAAGAGCGCCTTGCAGATTCGAAACGGGAATTGACTGACGTTGCCATGTCGTTTAGTCGAGAAGAGTTATTTGATAAATCTCCTCATGAAATATCGAATGCTTATGTTAGATTGTATCAAGGCATTGGAGAGGTGTTAAGACTAAGTCATCAGTACAATGTGATTGATTCTGAAAATCAGAAAGGTATAGCTTATGTAGCTCATATGCTTAATCATATATCTCAGCAATCCAACAGTCAGTTTGTTTACCCACATTATACCTTTTTTAATTAAAGAGTAACCATTAATTGTATAGACTTGACAAAGAAATCGTGAAGTCGATTGTAGCTAAGATAGCAGACCAAAAAGCTCAGACCGATTCAATTACCGCAATGGCAAATGAAATATCAATGTACTCACAAAAGGCCGCTCAAAGTGTTTCACAATTCGAAATCAAAATGAAAGAAACAAAGCAAGTACAAAGCACTTCAACCTTCGTGTACCTAGTCGCTTTGTCTCTTCAAGCGCTCACCGCTTACTTCGTCTATATTATTATCTTCAAAAGAAGACTTAACATCTAGGCGCTGTTCGACTATAATTAAACTACTGAAATACTTTGTTATTCCAAGCAAAAGAAAACTAACTATAAAACAATTAAAGGAGTGACCGACACAACAATTCACTTCAAACTGTTTTTTTTACACTCCACTCCACACACGAGCATACGCCTCACCGCTGAATGTGTTCTTTAACGCAAGTAATACGGTGTTACAAAACTGATAATCCTCGGGCGAAAGTTCGCGTTCAGCTTTAAACACATTCACCACTTGGCTCAGCGCATGTTTGCAACAAATTGGGTTGTTCCATATGATCTGTCCAAGTCCTTTCACACACACCATTCGCGCTTCTTTATCTCCCAAATCCAACAACGCGTCAATCAACGTATCGCAAATTACAGTGATGTGGGGGGCAACAAGATTCGGATTGACTAAGGCGACTCGTCCAAAGCATACACACAAATTTCGTTTGAAAAAAGAGATGTTGTCTCGCATGTTTGTGGCATTTGGGACTAATTTTACAAAAGTGTCTACAAACACTGGCAGCACCTTTTCAAGGCGGTCTGGTGCCGCTTTAATGAGCATCCCAACTGCCCACAACCGCAATGACAAATCACCTTCGTTCAATTTGGCTAATAAAGTCTCGACCAATGGGTCCAACGAAGAAGATAATGTTATTGGGTCGTTTTGTGATATCACACCAAGCAACGTAAAGGCCTGGTTCACGACGGTCTCGTCAACCGATTGAATACCACATAAAATGACACTTACCACGTTACTCATGGACCTTATCAACCCGACTGGCTGTTTTGTTGTTTCAATTAAAGCGTTCAACAAAATTAAAGCGGCAGCTTGGTCGCGTGTATCATCAGAGTGAATCATCTCGATTACTATTTTAACCAACTCCAACTCGTACCCAATCAACGCGTCACCCCCAAATTTCGGAATTATGTAACTCATGTTCTGGACAACCCGCTCGCCAAGCCCTTCGTTATTTTTAATCACACCAATCATCGCATGAATAACAACAACAAATAAGTTTTTGTTGCTGAGAAACATCTCTGGTACTCTATCCGAAAGCGCTGAAATTGTTTCGACCAACAAAAGTGCTGTTTCGTTGCTCTTTACATCAAGGAGGCTTTGAATAACCCAATTCATTATTTTTTCGGAGTTACATTGAACCGCGGTATTTGTCTTGTCGTCAATCATCGTTTCTAACAACAAAATCGCGTTTGGCTGGACATTTCCAGACAACAAACTCAGCAACAAGTCTTGGTAGTCCTTGGGAGCCAAAATGGAAGGCAAGAAGATGTACATCTCCTGCAACCCCCACAGTGACGTGACACTCCGCGTCCCGTTGTGGAGCTCGATAAAAATCTTTTCGACCATCCACCCAAACACTTCCCGGAATTTGTCCTTCTCTCTCCAACTTTTTGCCAACGAGCTGATGACAAAAACCGCCGATGGCCAGGTGATGTGTTGTGCAGCCGTGACTACGCTCACAACAAAATCATCATGGAACTCACCAGCCAAATCGTCCATCGTTGACGTCAAGTTTCTCAGCAACGGATCTTCTCCAACAAAAGGAGAATCTGTTGACGTGATTATTTCGTCGATTCTTTTTAGCAACGATTCGATAAACGGCGGAAGCAATGGTTGAAGTTGTTCTTTGAATGCGTGCGACAAAGACGAAAGCAGTGACGCCGCTGCAGAGCACACGTTATCTGTTTGCACGGACAGAAGAACTAAACAAGACTGGAAAATGGTCGACAGTTGACACGTCAAATGGTCTGGCTCGGTTGATAAAAATGATGCAAGTATTGATGCGTAGAGCTCACGAATAACGTCATCAGTCGACCACGCGTACCGCACCAACAAAACGACCAAATCCCCGCCACAGTCGCTAAAATAGTCTGGGTTGATTGAAAGTGCCGATTTCAAAAACTTCAAAATCGCCTGAACAACTGGCACACTTAAGTTGTTGTTGTGGAAAAGTGCGAGAATGACAGGAAAAAACACGCCACATAGATTATTCTTTCCATCCTCCGACGGGACATCCTCTTCGATAACGGATGCCGCTGTCTCCAAAACTTGCACGTTTGGACTTGTTGTGAGTGTTTGATGGATTGTGCGTACAATATAATTTTTCACCTGAAAATTCCCCTTTTTGAAACACTCAGTTACCAAGCCCTGGGCCATATGAGAATTCACGTTAGCTTGCAGTGATAAGCGCAAAGCAGCATTAACCAAGTCAACTTGGATGTTTGAAGTCTCAGTAACGAACTGCCGCAAAAAAATCAGCGCTGATATTTGGAGTTGAGGAATGTCTAGGGCTTGAATGAGGTTTTGGTAATAATTCGGAAACGTCATAATTTGTGCTTTGATTGCTACCATTTGTTTGTTTTCCTCCGCGTTGTGTGCCTTCTGGCTTTGCAAAAGGAAGTTGTTCACGACTTGTTGCCGGTCCAGCGCCGTCATACAGTGTCATATCCAGGTCTTCTTCAGGGTTTTCCTTTCCCACTTCGTTTTTTATTTTCCCCTTATCTTTTTTTTCGTTCCGTTATTTACAATCCATTGGCTCATTTCCCGATTTTGTGGAGATCTATTGCCCTTTTTATGAACAAAACCCTATTTATCACTATTTCTCGTTTTGTAGAGCTTTTCATTTTCTGAATCACAATTCCTCATATTTTTTCATTATTTTTTTTCAAAAAAAAACACAAGTAAATCTAGTTAAAAATATAATAAAATTAAACTAATAGTTACTATTCACCTTTTGTATATAAAACAAACTGGAAAAACTACATTTAACAAACGATGAACCCAACTAAGATGTACCTTGTCGGTTACAACCTCTCGATGGTCATCGGATGGTCGTACATCCTTTTGACGTATATTCTCACTGCTCTTTCGACCAAATTTTCTCCGCAGGAAATGTACCCACAAGTCCACATCGCGCTTCAAATCTTCCAGTACGGCGCAGTCTTAGAGATCTTCCACACACTCTTTGGACTTGTCCGTTCGCCACTCTTCACGACTATCACACAAGTCTTTTCACGAGTTATTTTGGTTGCTGTCTTGGAGTATATTCCAGAGTCTAGAGGACTTGGATTTTTGTTACTTGGATGTGCGTGGTCGGTCACTGAAGTCATCAGATACTCGTTCTACTCATTCAAATTGTTTGACTTGCCAGTGCCATACCCATTGCTATGGTGCAGATACTCTTTCTTCATTGTGTTGTACCCAATGGGTGTGTCTGGGGAAGTCATTACATTGTTCTTGTCGTTGCCGTTCTTCAAAACCGTGATGTTCTTCGGACTCTTCCCAATGTCGTACATCATCTGGGCCCTCATTTTGTACTACATCCCGGGCTTGTATATGCTTTACACATACATGCTCTCCCAGCGAAAGAAAGAGCTTGGCCAGAAAAACATGAACAAGCCAATTGAGGTCAGCAAGAAGGAGTAAGACCCTATTTGAAATTCTTTTTTAGTGTTTTTTCTGTGAGAAACTTGATATTTCTTATAAGACAATTAATAGAAGAAAGATGATCGCTCAATTTAAAGGAAATTTGACTAAACAACAGCAAGACGTCATCGATGTTCTTGCTGCTGGAGTGGAAGATCCGTTTGATACTTATAAAAGTCTTTTTTTGTATTAAAAGATAGAGACTTACTGTTTCTGACTTCCATTGATGAATTGTGTGGGATTTACTCTGAGAAATATGGCACAATGAATCAAGAAGAAATAGTTGATTTAATTAAACAATATAGTTTGTATGTCTCCCAAGAAACACTGCAGAGGCAAAGCATTTCAAACTTGTTACGAGTCGAACCGACGAAATTAAAGTATGGAATATCTCTGTTTGATCAATATTTTCCTACATTAAAACCAGAGGGGATTATTGAAATAGCAGGCGAGGCGGGTGCTGGGAAGTCACAGTTGTGTATCCAAATCATGGTGGTCTCCGAAGTGATGTATACTATGCCATGTTACTATATAACTGACCAACCATTTCGGTATTATGAACGAGTTAAGAGTATGTCTGAGTATTACTGTGACCTCTTTAATAGTGAAACTATAGATGTGAATCGACTGATTCAAGTCTCAGAAGTGAAGTCGTTTGAAGAACTTAAGCAAAGACTTGTTCTTGTCGATTCAATGAAGACTTGTGGACTTGTAGTGATCGACTCTTTTGGAGGAATACTTAAAGACGCATTCGAAGACAAATATACCGAAAGAGGAGTTGCTATAACATGGACGGGAATGATGTTAAACAACTTAATTAATAAAGGACATGTCGTTATAGTTACGAATCAAGCCGTCGCGAATATTAAAGACGATACTAACAAGGACAAAATGATATTCGACTTTTTAATGGGGAACGAAGAAACTCGAGACCTTGAGATACAAAATGGACTCGGTGTCGTTTGTGAGGGAGGTGAATTGAATACTCCAAGTGGAATGCAATGGGCATATTGCGTAAGAACTCGACTCTTCTTGTTCAAAACTAATGAAACACTCGAACACGCTTATGATACATTCACCGATGAATGTAAAGAACAACTCGAAGGACTTGATGAAAGCACTTTCAAAAATGTATCCATCAGAAAGGCAGTCGTTAATAAGTCAAATGAAGTCGAAAAAGGTATTTGCTTGGAGTACTGTATTTTAGAGTCTCACGTCTGTGGGTTGGAGAGAATGGAAGATTGATTCTGTGTTATTAAAAAATTAAAAGAGATGATTTGTCCTCGTTTTATAATAATCAATTTGTTTGTGTTATCGTGTGTTGTCTAATTGAAAGTAAAAAGTAAGTATTATGATAGATCATTTTAATAACAAATTTTAATAATTAATTAGAAAGTTAAAATTATATTATAAATATATTATCAAATTAATAATATTTATTATCAATCAAAAAAAGCAAAAATAAAAATAATTAAAAACTCAAGAAACAGTCATTGTATGAAACATCCAATAGGTTCTTAAAATGTTGAGTCAAAATATACAAATCGTTCAAGTTGAACTGTTTTTTCTCTTATATTTTTATTTCGTAATGAACATTTTTTTGCTTTTGGTTTATCCAAATATAGTATAATTATAGTTAAAATCAATTAAAATTAAACTATATATTTATTGTGTTTCTAAGAGATATGTCCTGTAGTTTACATATTAAATTGAATAATAGTGTGTTATTTTTGGAATAGTGAAAAACTATTCGACTTATAATATAATTATAAGACGGATATAGTATAATTATACTAAAAATAAAAACTAGTTTTAAAAGTAGTTGCAAACACAAAAACCAGATGGTTCAATTTTCATCACATCACATCTTCTTTTTATTCCTGTCAATGTACTTTTCTCTCTCTGCGAAGTGTGTTGACGGGGTCTGTGGCAATGCGAAATATCTTTCCCGGTTCAAACATTTCAACGTCGACTTTACTCAGATGGCTGAGGCGAAGGAAGCCTTTCTCAAGAAGTATTCGCAACATAACGAGTATGGCTATAATGACACCATCGACGACATTGTCGCAAATGAATTTCAAGACAGACTGAATAACAGAATCTTCTTTGATTACACGGCCAATGGTGTCTACACGAAGTCGCAGATGGACAAAACGTTCAATGAATTGAATTCAAAGTTCTACGCCAACTCACATTCCCACAACGAATTCTCCTCCAACACTGATAACGTCATTCATCAAGTCAGACAGAAGATATTAAAACGATTCAATGTGACATCAGCAGAGTACACTGTTGTGTTTACAAGTGGCGCGACGGGTGCACTCAAGTTAATAGGTGAGAGCTTCCCATGGACGAATAACAGTAAGTTCATGTACCTTAGACAGAACCATAATTCAGTATTGGGGATACGAGAGTATGCTCTCGAACAAGGCGCCGAGTTTAAATCAGTGACTGAAGAGGAACTCAACCTTGAAGGGTGTGACGATTTGTTCTCCGAGAAGTGTGAAGGGATCCCAACCGTATTACGGAAGCCCACTCTGACGAAATACCCAACAACAGTATACAGTTTGTTTGCATACCCTGCTCTTGAGAACTTTGCAGGCGTCAAGTACCCTCTTGAATGGATCTCAAAATTTAAAGCAGAGAAGACGGGGAAGAACAACAAGTGGTTAGTGTTATTGGACACCGCCGCCTTCTTGAGTACCTCTGAACTCGATTTGAGGAAATACCCTGCAGACTTCTTAGTGATGTCGTTCTATAAAATAGTTGGGTATCCCACAGGTCTTGGCGCTTTAATAGTGAAGAACAGTGTGTTGGACTTAATGCAAAAAAGCTTCTTTGGTGGTGGAACAGTTGTGATGAGTGACTGTGACACGCACTTCTGCTTATTACATGAGAGTGGATGTCAGCGGTTTGAAGATGGGAGTTTGAATTTCCTGTCTATATTAGCGCTGAAATACGGTCTGGAGGAACAAGACAAATTTGGTGTGAAACACATTAAAGCCCACGTGATGAGTATCGTCGACTACGTGTACGACGAACTTTCTGCACTCAAACATTCGAGTGGGAAACAGGTTGTTGAGATCTATGGGAAGCACTCGAGTCATGACCACTCTGTTCAAGGTCCTATCATCAACTTAAGTGTGAAAGATAAGGATGGGAAGTACGTTGGATATAATACAGTGGAAGACATCTTAACAAAAGCCGGCTTTGAAGTTCGCACGGGGAGTAGTTGCAACCCTGGAGCATGTTATGGCTATTTAAATGTCACGTCGGACGAAGTTAAAAAGTTCTCATTAGAGAGAAGTGGGTGTGGCGACGACCATGATATCATGGACGGAAAGCCTCTTGGCGGCGTTAGAATCTCCTTTGGCTTTTTGTCGACATTTGAGGAGGGATATTCCCTTGTCCAATTTTTCAAGAAGAATTTTGCCCATTAATTATTCGCTTGTCTTATTGTTTTTTCTGTGCGCGACGGACCGGGTTGCCAGTGATAACACCCAAAGTTTCACTATTTTTGAAGCATCAGTACGATACTAAATGATATAATACATTTTACTATAGAAAATAGGTTGGAAAATGTGCCACAAATAGAAGACATTATTCAAGTTTTTGTGAATAGACTTTATGAGTTGTTTCTCCCGAAGTAACTGATTGATAAAGCCTATGATATGAAGAAACTTGGAGTTATAACATTGAAGAAAATGCCGATCAATTTATGGATATCTAGAGAACCCAATATATTCGATCAGAAGCCACAAAAGAATCAGGTTTTTCATATAAAATGGCAACATGAAGATCACAGAACCATGACAGAAATTAAGCCCAAGTGGAATTAGGAATCTTAAAGAATCGAGACGGCAATGAGGAGAGAAATAGTGAATAAAAATGGGCAAAGGAGTTTATGAAAACTTGAAAAAGAAAAAGAATCCAAAAATAGAAATTGCCCATATTAAAAGAAACTGGAAAAAAATGACGTGAATGAATACGCGGAAGAAGATACCTCTTTGTGAAGAGCGAGAGGGCCAACAGTGCACTCCAATCAGTTTGCCGTCCTTAAATCAATAATTTTATTAAATTGATATCAAAATGACACCGTTTATTGACAACAAGGGAATGAGAATGGGATTGTGTCGTGTAAATATTGTGGGATAGTCTTAAATGAAGAAGTTTTAGAGAATGTGCCAGTGAATACGTTTGTTTCTTATAACTCAAAATTTTGTTGTGAACACATTACGAGTTATTCATGTTATTCAGAATATATTTTGTGATGTTTTTAATCTATTTTTTCGACTGAATTAAATGGCCACCACATTTTTAACATTTTAAAAGATAACAAATTATTTAATAAAAAAAACAAAGGAATTTATCACTAGAAAAGACGACATGAAAAAGAGTAAAAACATTACTAGCGAAGAACAACTCATGGAATATTTCACTAAGTTAAATATAGTGACTAAAAAAGCGGGACATGGCCTGGAGATCTTTCACTCTTTAGAACACACTAAACTCCCTAAAGTGAAAGGGAAGAAGATGGACCGACTTCTTCTCGGTATTGTCTACCACATTTGCAAGATCGACAACATTGGCTTGACCATTAAAGAGATATCGAAAAACTTGAATTGTACTGAGCAAGAAATCATCAATGGGTATAAACTGCTTGAGAAGATCTCTCCTGAGACGAAAAATATATCAGTAAGTGATCCGGTCGAAGGGCTCATTCCAAAGTATTGTATAGCCGTCGGATGTGCAGATTTGATTGGCCAAGCCATTTCTATATCAAAGCAAGTCCAACGGATCCTCGAAGGCAAAAAACCCGTCACTGTCGCGGCGGTCATCATTTTGTTTGTCTGTCGGTACAACAACAAGTATGTTTTATTCTCTCTTCGTTTGATGCCATATAAGTACTCTTCTGTGTAGTATATCAAGTTACAAATAGATACGATTTCTCTATGGAAAAGTTGATCACGTCAACATGCAGCGTCACTGTTGCAAACGCGCGTCAGGTGTTGATCTCGCTGAACAAACATAAGGAGATGCTTGAGAAGACGTTGTCCGAGCGAGCGAAGTCTGCCTTTACACTTCACACACAAAAGTGAGGTTTTTGTTATTCATTTACATTCTGTGTTCATTTCAGATGTGTTTTGTATTGTGGAGATGTTTTGTATGAAAAATATGTAGAAATTTCGGAGTTTTTTTACAGGGAGTCTGGTCTTTTTAAAATGTTTTTAATATGTAGTAAATTGAAGGAAAAAAGGGTTTGTAATACCATTCTTATGGTCATTATTTGATATTTTTCTACTTTTGATTTGGTAGACGAACTCAAAGAAAGCCGATTATCGCTAATTGGTAGGGTTCCAAAGAACGAAAAGAAATTCTTTATTGAAAAAGACGAACTCAAAACTGTACTAAATAAAGTCTGGCTGATAGTCCCATTTTTTGAAAGAGAATTTGCCTGTTTTTCAACAACAAAACAATTAAAAAAATAATTGGCGATAATTTTTGGATTCGAGTTCTTTTTTAAAATAAAACTTTTAATGTTGCTTAATGGTGATAAGGAGGTTATCGATATCATGTAATCTGCTTTATTAATCATTTGTTTTATTATACAACAATAATTGTGGTCAAAATGTTTCTGTTTTTGTTGACGAATTATTATTTAAAAATTTGAATTCTAGACAATAATAAATTCATTTTGAAAAACTGCCAATTAAAGCTCCGCATTGCCCCGATTGCACAGATAAAACCCCATCGTCGGCTTTCCCAATTATTTTGAACTATCTTTCAAAATTGCATGTTCTAAATATGATAGCTTACTCCTTCAAAAAAAAGACCATTACATATAGTTGTTCAAATCTAGCTACTTGCTACCATCCGATTCTTTTGCTTGAATAAAAATTGACCAAAAGGCAGAAATTTTCAGTTTCATTATGAAAAATGGGCTATTTCAGAAGAGTCCATTTACGAGTTCTTTTACTACCTTTCCCGATCCATCAGCCGGGTACTACCATGTTTGATTATATTTGTTCGAAAAAGGAGTCGAAATATAAGGAAGAATAGTATTAAAAAAGAGGTCTTCGTTCTTCCTATAAAAGCACAACTGATCTCAATTAGTCCCATGTTTCCAGCAAAGCTCTCGGCCGACAAAAGTCACTCCCGTTCCGAGAAGAATTTGTTGGCAAAACAAAATTCTTTTCTCACTCGTTCGTTCATTAATTTGAAATGTGACCAACGCTTCTTCCAAGACGATTTAGTCGATGATGAGGTTTCTTCAATATTAAACCACTCAACACCAAGTAACAAATTCTTTCTCATCAACGAGTCCAATGTAAAACAAGACGACGACGATCTCAATGATCCTGGCCACACTTCCTTTGAAATCGAAAGGTGTAAAAAGCCCTCTCCAAACTTTGTTAAATAGACAAGCAGTTTGCGAGCTTGATTGCTAATTCATTATTAAATAGGTTCAAATTTTCATTCCCTCCACCAAATAAATACCATCCGCATCTAATAGTCTATTTTTAACCGTATACCAAGTCTTGAATCCAATTTATGTGTGACTCAATCATTAATTATTCGTTATGAATATGAAATAGAACTTCTTTTACAAACACTTTCATTTAAATCTTAGTGTAACCAAACACACAAATCAATTGATTGTATTGTTGCCTTACTTGACTGACTCGGCAATGACTTTAGTTTGCACTTCTTTCAGTACCTCATCTAGTGGTCATTTCCTCTTGGCAGTTCTAATGAAAAAACAAACTTTCAGAGAAATTCTTGATGTTCTCATTCACGACAAATGGGGCCAACAACTCTCTCAAAAAGAATTCGTAGAAGTCGACGTAGAGTTTCGATTTGATGTACTTCGTGATATCTCCCTGTTGTTGTTCCCTCCCTATCATTGTTCTAATTTGTGGAAACATATGGTTAATTTCCTCTTCCGCTTCGTGGAATGTCTTCGTATAGATCTTCTTATTACTTAACCCATAGCACATCACTGAAGCTGTCAACAAAATGTTGCACACAAGAGCACTCGACACCCCACATATAATAAATTCATTCCTCATATTCATCGTGAAAAAGACGACAAACACCACAACTACCACACTACTCAAATTCCTCATACACGCTCGTTTGAATTGATTGACAGGGGTCAGTTCAATAAGTCCTTCTATCACCTCCTTTGCTGCTCCAAACAACGTTTCCGTCTCGTGCGGAAGGGAGTTGTTCCGTCTCAGCGCATTTTTGGCGTACGGCGTCCACGTGTTGTCCGTCAGTGAACTTGGGGTCAACAGCATTCCAAAGTACCTCAGCAGCAAGATGAGTAAATTGTACGTCGCGCTGATGATGACAAATAATGAGCTGTGCCATCGCAAGTAATATTTCTTCCTTTTCTCCACTCGACTCTTCCAGCAATTGTAATTCCTCTGGTAGTTCGGGTTCTCTTGTGAACTGAGTGACTTATAAAAGTCGAAGTCCTTTGGTGGGAAGTATATATCTTGAATGATTCTATACAAGTATTTGCTCCTCCCTCTCATTCCCGTCTCATTTTCAATGACATATCGACTCAACAGATTGCTCCGTAATGTGCAATACTTCACAAACAAATTCTCATCTTCCGTTTTTGTGACAAAACCATCTCCACCCGTTGTATGGAGTCCATCATCATCAATAAAAGCTTCTTTAGTATCCAACTGATTGTTCGCATCACTCTTATTCTTCACGTCTTTAACTTCTTTCATCTCCGTGGGCTCGTGTTTCTCAGTTTCGAGAATTATAGAATCGTCAATCATTGCAGTTTCGAGCGTTACCGATGACATGAGAACGGACGACGCTACTGTCCCATCCTCACACTCGTTATCCTTCTCCTCCTCAAACCGGAACACACTTTTCACACGCTCCCAGTCTCCGCCATAACTCAATATTTCTTTCCTGCCAAAGAACTTTCTCGCTGCTATGAGTCTTGGGTCCTTCGTCATTTTATAGATTTTATAGGAATACCTGACTATCGAACAAAACGCAACGATAAAGACAAAGAAGAATATGACGTTCTTAAGTAAATCCGCCTTGAAGAAGTCGGAAAACTTGGGTAAGCTTCCGTCCTCCTTCGTCATGGTCTTAAGTGGATATCCAACAACCTTCCCGTAATCAATATATATCAGAAATGCTAAGAGCATAAGTATAACGACAGTCTGTATTATTGGGTACAATTTTGTGATCACTAAATTGAAGTATCCTTGCACTCGCCACAATTTGTAAAACCATTGAAACGACTGTTCTGGACATTTTACTGTTGATGTACTTTCTTCTTCGAGTTTTTCAATGAGTGTATATTCGTCTCCGTTCAACGGCTCCATCTTCTCTTTTTTCAAAGTTCTTTTACTTCATTCTTCTCCGAATGATTTTACACAAATCACTTCAAATTGTTATTAAAATTTTTATTAAAATTGTTATTAAAATTGTTATTAAAATGTTATTGAAGAAACAAGTGAATTAGACGGTATCGAACACATCTTTGTCGAAATACATATCATAAAACTTCTCAAAACCCCCCGAAAGTACTTTAATTTCCGTTTTACTGTCTTTGTATTTAGGGTTTTGAAAAGCAAAATTTAACATATAGGCACAAGATGGACCTCGAGAGTGAGACATCATACAATGGACTATCACCAAGTCATATGAAGAGTACATCGAAGCCAAAGAATCTGCTGTGTCGCGGAAATTGTATGAAGGTATGCTTATGGCACTTTTGATGACTTTATCTCCTAAATCATTCCCACGAACATCTATTATCAAAAATTTCTTCTTCGCTTTGTTCTCAGTGACTAACTCGAAGACGTCCTCAGGTTTGATGTAACCAAGTCGAGACTCGTCCATTACTTTATGTGTTTCATTCAGTTAATAGTAATTTATTAATAATTACTTTTACTATATTTTCTAGTTTTTGTCTTTCAATAGTAAAGTATTAAATGTTGACGATATGAAGTATATTGTGCCCAAAAAAAACATACACAACCAATCAAATACGAACAAGCTTTTCTTTCATTATTTCTCTTCCATGAAGTCTTTCTGAGTTTTTTTGTTTATCGTTGTTTTCCTCATTGAGTTGGCTTAGGTTGCACACTCTTCTCTTTATCTTCATTTTGAATAAAATTTTCTTCTTTAGGAATATCGGCTCCAAGAAGTGATAAGAGAGAATTGATGTTTTGTTCCTCTTTGTTTGTTTTTTCTTTATCGTCTGTTTCTTTTGTTGCGTTTTCTTTCGTTTCAAAAGTTTTTGTATGTTGTCCACCGTCTAGTGTACCGCCTTTAGTTTCGTTTTTAATATCCACTACTTTTTTTATTTCATTTTTAGTGACTTTGTTGTTTTCTATTTTTCCCGTTCTATCCACAGAAAGGTGAATAACAATAGGGGATCTCTTCGGTGTTTCTTCTTTCTTGCTCTCATTTAGTTCTTCTTTCGTTGAATTCGTTTTGGTCTCTGCGACCTTTTCAATTAATTGAGTTTCGATTTGTTCTTCTTTGAATTCCTTTTGTTGTGTTTCAAGGCTTTCCTTATCTCCAAAAACAATGAAAAAATGATTCATCGCAAAATTATAACAAAATGGGGATCCTCTCAAGCCCGGTCCCAAACAGACAAATATATTAGTGTTATTCATTCGATTGATCGTCGAATTACACAACACCATATACATAAACTCAACCAAGTCTCTTATAAACCCCTTCACTATCTGTGGAAGTTCTTGAAAAATTTTCAAGTATCTTTCAACCACCTCTTCTTCCTTTAACTCGTCTTTCACTAGTCGTTAGTCAAGAGACTTCATTATTAATAACAAATTCTATATTTTATAATAAAACTATTATAAAATATAGTTTGTACCGAACAGGAACAAACCTTTATACAACTTCGTAAATTCGTCGTCCACACTTCTATTCACAACTGCTGAAGGAAAGTCTCTGATATACTGTTTCAAGCAGCTGGCGAGTGTATACACATCAGAGCCCTCTAAAAACGACGTGTCTCCAAACTGCAGTCTTTCCTTCATCCACTTCATCTTTTCTTGACTCCCACAAAGTCTCAGAATACCATCCGTCTTTGTCGCGTGTTTCTTTAAATAGTCCAACACTTCTTTAATTGGTCGTGGGTACAAATCAGTGTGGTAGACTTCCCCGTACTTTTCGAGTTGCATTCCAAAGAATGGCACAAACGTTTCCTTTTCTATACCGTTGTCCTCTTTCTTGCCTATTTTGCTCTTTGGCTTCAAACTCTCTTTTTGTGGCTCAATAAGTCCTTTCACCTTCTTTACCAGTAACGGGTGTGCAACTTTCGACTTGATGTCCATCTTCTTTAAGTTGGCAATCCCATTCGTTTGACTGATTACTGTTCGTGGTATCGACTCCACCCAAATCGTCATCGATGAGAGTTGACCCTCCCACTTGTCTCGTTCTTCTTTGCCTTTGAACTTGATGTGCTACTGATCAATTCTGTCCCAAATTAATAGTAAAGTGTTTTACTATAATTTTATTATTTCAATACTATAATCAAATACATAACAAACGAAGAGACTGTTGACTGTCAACGTGGCATCGCCTTCCATAAAAAGTGTTGGGTGGTTCAAGTAAAACACGTGTTTTGAGTTATTTGAGACAGACCTTACAATGAAGAAATTTGATTTCAAAACGATTTTCTTCTTCTTTGGTTTAGCGTTGCCGAGGCGGTATTCGACAAAGCTGACGAGCTCTTCTTGAGTGATATAATTAGCGACTGTCTCGTACATTTTTGTGATTTTCTTTGGTTCTATTTCCGAGAAGTAAATGTTCAGCATCAAAATTTTCTCGGTGAGGATGTTGTACATTTCTTTCAGTGTTTCTAATGTGTTCAATTCACTCGCATCAATTTTCGTCAATTTAGGTCGCGTTCGAGTTTTCGACGCAAAAAGAGCTGTTCGACGAGCGGCATTCGTCATCAGTTGTTTCTTTCCGTACGTCTTATTTACTCGAGTAAGTTCGTACCTATGTTTTGCGAATGAAACTGCAAATTTTGTTGATAAAATACGTTGGGAAGGGTGTTTCGTGTTTTCCAAAAAGTTTACCAACGCGTTCACGTTGCGGTCTTGTCTGAAAAATTATTTTGGTATTCAAATAATGTTATTCACAATAAAGAACATCGAAAAATCGAAACAAACGTCTCTGGTACGACTGGGTGTTGCGTTGTATCGTCTTGTGGACTCTCTATTTGAAGTTCACTCGCTGAAATGGATAAATGAATGTTCTCTAAACTATTTGTGCGAACCACACGAGACGCAATCATTCGTTTAAAGTACTTTTTAAGTTCAAAAGAGTTGGTTGTTTTTAAAATAACCGATTTTGTAAGAGATAGATGGATAAGTGAAGAGAATAATATTGGTTTGCTTGGTTTTTGTTTAATAATATTATACACGATAACTTTTTTATTAATATTTGGTATCTTATTTCGGTTATTAAACTATTTGTATTGGGTTAATAATAGAAAAAAATATTTGGCTTTTTTAACCACTTTATCGATTTTTATTAATTCGGTTTTAAATAATTGAAACTAGAAATAAGTATACAAAGTTTACACCATAAATAAAGTTTTAAGTGGCATTTTTATATTTAAGGTGAACAGTGAAATATGTTATATTTTAATCAATATTTAACTATTGATAATATTAACAAAATAAAATTATAAAAAAAGTTTTTAATAAAATACTATAATCAAAACAATACAAATTAATGAAAAAAACAATAATAAACTTTAAAATATAAATAATAAGTGAATTTTTATTTTTTGAAGGTTTTTTTATTAGAATTCTATTTTATAAACTAAATTATTTTTATAATAAAAAAACTTAACTTGTTATTATTAAGAATATTATTGTCATATTTTTCTCTTTTTTAGTTTTAAAAACAACATACAAATTGTGTGGAAATATTTTCTAATATTATGATTATAATAAATACTATATTTTAAGTTTAATTCAATTAACAAAACATTAAAAATTGAATACAACAAATTTCAAGTTTTTTGCTAATTATTGTGTATGATAATTAATATGAAGCATAATTAACAAATTATAGTAACATTTATTTGTGATTTTACAAACACATTAATAAAATAATTTTATTAAAAAAAATAATATATTATATTAGTATATATAATATATAAAATACATATTTATTTTTAAACACTAAAAATGTAAATGATTTTTTAACTTAAACATAATTATACGACAAAATCACTCAAATGTTACAATCCTTGAATAATTCTTACTGAAAAATCACACGTTTTACCACAAAAACATTATTGCCGAACATTAAAAACACATGTTTTTATTGAAAACAAAAATACCTTCAATTAAGAGTAAAGAAACATTATCATCAAGCAAAAACACGAAGATAACCAAAAATTGCAATAACTACCATCTCAAACCCAACAAAAAGAAACATGTATGATAATTACAAAGCTCCCCCAGCCGAGACAAGTGACCTGTATGATCCCTTACTATGTTTTGACCCGAAATTGAACGACTTGAAAAACGAAAATGGGAAGCAGCATGACGAGCTTTTCTTTAACGTTTTTGGTGATTCGTTATATTGTGTTGACGACAGTAAGTCGTAGTCACTCCCAAAGTACTTCTGTGCCATCTCTTCGTGTAAGTGTCGAAGGTTATTTGCAATGGACTCCATACGCTGTAGTTCAAATGCTTCCTTCAACGGGTCATATGCGTACTTCCCCATCTCGAAGTCAACAACTGAAATGAGTCCTTCTACCTTATTCATAATTATAAACAAGTCATTCCTCTGTTTGACGTCCAAGTCTTTCTTTTCTAATAAGTTAGTTGCGTTCGTTGTTAGTTCTTTGATTTGTGGAACTACCTTGTCCACCTCCGAAATTTCCTTGGGCGTGTTCTCAAAGACAAACTCCGAGTTCTTTGGTTGTGGGAAGACCGTGCCTTTCCTTACAAGCTCGGAGTATTTCTCGGCGACCTTACTGAGTTCAACCGGGTACAGTCCACCGAGTAATTGGATGAAAAGAAGTGCGTCATTCTTGACTTCCATATCTTTGACGGCATCCATACAGTCAAAGAAGACATTGAGGTACTGTGCGGTGTTGACACACCTCCTAAATGTAGATGAATGTTTGCAAAGGTGCTTTGTGATCTCGACAATAGCACCGTACTCCTTCTCCGAATGGCTTTGTGTCATTTTTCTAACTATAAGTGTATTAAGTGCCGGCGCTGCGTTCAAAGACTGTTTAACTGAGTCCAAAAGGGCTTTAAGTCTGTTCTCCGTTGCTCCGTAGTCCATAATTTGGTCGAAAAGCTGGTGAAGCGTCAAAATGCGCGACATGAAATTTGAATTGGGAGTTTGAATTTGCCTCAAATTTCATAAAAAAAAGCTTTTCTAATTTAGTAATCTTATTTCGGATAATAAGGTTTTACGATTTAGGTATAGCTTTTTATTGTTTTGCTATTAGATTGGTATAGTAACTCAATTCATTTACAAAATAGAACGATCTTCTCTTCTCATGAATCCCGTTGTTGCGGCCTTGAAATGACCACAGAAGACCAAAATTTGTCGTAGAATTCCATTTGACACCAACTATTAGTAATTGTAAATTTAACTAGAATTATTGCTTGAGATATGAACAAGATTTTTTTGGGAACAAATTAAAAGGTTCCGTCTTATTGTTTCATTTCAGATTTATAACATTTGTTTAATAATGCCGATATTTTAATGTAAAAATAACTATTTTTATAAAAAGGATAACCAACACAAAAGTATATCGGTACACGATTTGTGGTCGAGTTGTTTTTAGTGTTTTCAGAAACAAACAGAACAAAAATGAAATTCGATAAAACGGTATCTTTTGTTTTGTGCTTCTTTAATTCAATCATAGTAATATGTACCCAATACTTTCAGGTTTTTTCCCAATAGAACTGGAATTAAAAAAAACGTTAAATAGTGGAGTGTTTTTTTGAAAGATCGACCAAACTACCTAATGCTCACTATTGCTAATTTCAATATGAAATAATGGACAAGATTTTTATTTAGTGTACAATGTTACTATACCTTTAGTACTTTCCCGATTTATTAGCGGAAAGTAGTTTGAATTATAAAATTCACCCCGAAAAGTAGAGATTTTATGTGGGAAGAAAAAACGTGTTTCCATGTGGAGTGTTTATTTTTATAAAAATTTATACTATAAATATAAATTATTTTACTAATTTAATTGTTTTCAGAAGTTATTATTCTAACAATTATAACTCAACACCGACAAAATAAACAATTTTTATAAAAATTAGAATCAATTTCATTTTTTTTTATTATTTTTTAATTAAAATTTTACATAACTAAATAAACATTATTTTTAACGGCACATTTATTTATTTTAGTCTAATATTTCAAATAAATTCTAAAATTAAGCTCCTTTAAAATTTTTGAAACTTTATTAAATTACTACCTAATGGTAAACAAGTTTGAGAAAACAAGAACTAATTGTATTCAATAATAAACAGTTTTTTAAAACCACTTGGAATATCTATACAAATAAAACATCTTATTTAATAAAACGACATTTTTATTCAATTAAAGGATTTATCATTTTGTTGTTATAAAAATCTAATCTTTAAAACAAAAATAATGATGTTAATGCGTTTCAGAATCAACACAAATTTACGCAATAAAATGAACAGCAAATTGTGTGTTTGTCTTTTTTTATTTACACCGTGTAATGGAATAATTGTTCTACAAATGACAAACACAATTTTTAAATGCATTTGTTAATACTTATCAAACAAATATTCAAAATTGTAATATATAAATCAATGGGTACATATGAATTAATACTCAAGGAGTGTACATTTATTAATATGTACATTCATAATATAGTCATAAGTTGCATATTCAATATACTTCAACAAATAATAGTATTTTATTTAATATAAAGTTAAATTTAAATTAAAAAACTCTTTAAGGTTTTTTAATAACAATTAAATAATAATATTTAATTATATTACTATTAAAATATTTATCGACTATTATCTTATAAAGAAAATCTTACTATTTATATATTACTGACCGATAACATTATTTGGACTGAAGAAGTGATAAAACACATACAAACCATCATTTCACGAATCACAAATAAACAGATGAGTTTAAATTCTCAACAAAATACATTTTGGTGGTTATAATAAATTCTTTGAACTGACTAAAAAATTTTCAAGTCAAAGCAAAATCCTCGAAACGACGAAATAAAAAATGGAGCAATTTTCCTCTAAAAAAGTGAAGACAAAAAGTCAACAACTTCTAAAGGCAAAGTGATGTTTCCATTCACAAGTTCCGACTTATTGAAAGCAACGGAGTATGTTTCTCAATCCCCGAAGCCACAAGACTACATAGACGCAATGGAAAAAGATGATGGCAAATCAATCATATGGGAAATAGTTAAACAGCTTCGGCCTGGTATGTCTCTAGACCGAGTGACCTTACCCACACACATTTTAGAGCCACGGTCTCTTCTTGAAAAGTTGACGGACTATTTCACACACATCGAGTTAGTGAATGAAGCTGCCAATCTTCCAACACCAGAGGAACGCTTTGTGAAATTGGTCCAGTTCTTCCTCTCCGGATTTTATGTGAATCCAAAGACATGTAAAAAGCCATACAACCCATTGTTGGGCGAGTTTTATCGAACGTCGTGGGAACACTCTGACGGCTCAAAAAGTTTCTTTATAGCAGAACAGACCTCACATCATCCACCCATTTCTTCTATATACGCCTGTAATAGAAAAAGTGGATGGGTCGGAGATGGCAACTTACACTTCGTGACGACATTCAACGGCGTGACTGCAAGTGCGGGAATCGAAGGAACAATTCACGCAAAATTCACTAAGTACAACGAAGACTACACTTGGAACTTTCCGAGTGCGATAGTGGGTGGGTTGTATATCCCCCCACTTGTGATGGAGATTGGTGGCGAACTCAACTTTGAGTGCATACAAAGTAAATACAAAGCGACTGTATTGTTCAAGACCAAACCATTTTTTGGTGATGATGGATTCAGAGAAATCGATGGGACAGTTTACAGTCCAAAAGGGGACAAAATAATGAAAATAGTTGGGAAGTACGACAAGGAACTTTTTATCACCGATTTGAGAACTGGTATCACAAAATCGTTTTTTAACGTCGACGAGCTCAAGAAGAAGACTGAAGAAAGAAAAGTGAGGAGGTACGAGAAGTTGCACCCCTTTGAATCGGAAAAACTGTTCAAAAAGGTGTCGGACGCCATTATTAATAACGACCAAGAGAAGGCAATGAAAGAAAAGTTCGTGTTGGAAGAAGCACAACGTGCAGAAAAAAAATTGAACGACGACAACGGAACCGAACACGTCACAAAACTCTTTAAAAAAGACGAGTTTGGGGTGTACCGATACAAATGGGAAAATTGGAATGTATACGACGAAACTACAGAAGGAGAGGAAATTGAAGTTGGAGGTAAACTCGTTACTTTAAAGAAGGGTGAGTCTTTGAATGAAGAGAGAATTATTGAAATAGTGAAAGATGTGCCATATGTCGACTGGGAAATAGATCAAGAACCTCCACACATCATGAAGAGCTTCAGGTTTTTGTTGGAAGACGATACAAATAAGAACAAAAGTGATGGTGTGAGTATCTTATGATCGAATCATTGTTTATTGTTAATTGTTTCTTCTTGTGTTCTTGTTTCTATGTTAATTAGTTACTGATTCTTAATTCTTGTATATTTAATTGTTGTATATAATTTATAGTTAATTCTATTAAAAATCACTATTCCATTTTAAATATATTTTTATAATAAAATATAGTTAAATTTTAATAATCAACAATGATTCGACTTTTAATGGTTGATTTACAAAATGTATTAACTTATTATATTTTAGTTTTTTTTATTATAATTATAATACTTTTTAATATCGTTTTTTCATTTGAAAAATTCAGAATTTTTGCATGATAAAAAAAATTAAATTACACAAATTTCAAATTAAATGATTTGATTAATTTACTAAATAACATAGTTTGAAGTAGTATAAAGTATGGTACATGAGAACGACCAGCAGAAAATAGTTTAAAACTTTATAACTATTTTTAATGGAGAAAAAGATTGAGCTATTGACAAAGAAAACATCCGAGCAGACGTGGAGGAGTCTAACGCCAAAAGCACTCGACAGTGCAGAGAAAAAACACTCCCAAACGCCAAAAATATTGATTGGATCGAAATCAATTGGCATCTCACCACCCCCAAGTAACACGAAGAAAGAGACAATCCAAGCCACACATGTGTTGTGGAAGCCTTCAGTAACTCGTCCCCGGGAAATGTATAATGCGGTTTTGGGAGATGATGATGAAGGTGAACCGATTTATGCGTCGACACGAGTGTCGCCCTCAAAGTCGGCGACTCCTCGGAACTTTTTGGTTCGTTCGAAGTCCTCAAAGAACTATTTCGAGAAGAAAACGCCAGAAATCATCGAAGAAAAGGGGAGCTCACAAAGTCTCTCCGAGTCAAGTCGGGCAGATAGCATTAATGGGAAGAAGACATATAAGAGCGACTCAGATCCGCAATCAACAAAACACTTCCACATGAACAGTTTCATTAAACTTGAGTTTGAACCAAAACAAGGCAAAAGATGTGAGCGACTCTTAGACGCTTCGTTACTTTCTGAGACTCGAGAAGATCTCAAACTGTTTCTTGAAGACGTTGAAAAGTGGAAAACAGCCAATTTGTTAGAACATTTGAATTACTATGGCCGAGTTCGACCAATCAAAGTGTCGTGTATTACATGGAACATTGAAGAGAAAGGAATCAATGTAATTACACTGGAAGGAATGATGAATTCAGTGCAGAAAGATATTGACATTGTTGTTCTTGGGCTTCAGAATTATAAGGGAGACATTATAGAAATGGGGAATGCGATTCTACCGATATTCGAAAGAAAGGGTATTACTATGCAACTAGGTGACTTGATGCAAATTGACTCTATTGGTGTAGTTATCCTGACCAAAACGAGTTTACCAATAAAGAATAAAGGTATTGGATTTACCAGTTTTGAAGATGGGAAGAGGCACAAAAGTCTCAAAGGGTGTGTTGGGGTCAGACTTGAATTGTTTGACTCTTCGATGTGCTTTTTGTGTGTATTAGGAACGAACAACGGGATGGAAGATCCTCTAAAAAAGATAGATGAAGGGATTAAGAAGATGACATTCACAGGGAGGTTGGGGCAGAAGAAAATGGAATATACTCTCGACACCCATGACATCGTTTTTGTGATGGGAGACTTCAAGAGTGAAGTCATTGGGATGGAATATGACGATGTGCTTAAAAATATTGTATCACAAGAATTGGAAGAGTTGCGAAAGAAAGACAATTTAGTGAAGAATTTGTGTATGAAAGAATACTTTGGAGGGTATGAAGAGTTTTGTATCGACTTTGATCCAACTTACCAAATCAAGAGTGGACTCACATCAAAATTCATTACAAACCCTTACACTGAGAAAAAGCCCGGGTGGCCAGATCGGGTCATTTTTAAAACAATTAAACGGCACTACGTAGAAGTGCTTAAATACACAAGCTTCGACTTGTTTGTCAGTCAACACAAACCAGTCATATGCTCCGCTTCTCTTTATCTTCAAGAATTCGATAAAAAGAAGAAAGCCGAGGTTATGTCTTATTTGAATAAGCTCGAAAAGTGTTACACCAAATATGCAAAAGTACATAAGATGCAATAAGTATCGCATTTCATTTATTTTAGTCACTATATTTACACCTGTTGTTTGGTCTACTTTGCAAACTAGTATTATTTGAAACATTACGTTCTGGTTTCATATACTAATAACTAATTATAGTTAAGTATGTATTATTATTTTACTATTACTAAACTATAAATTTCTTAAACAACAAATATTGTATTTTTATTTTTTGAATAAAAAATATTTACTAAAATTTTAATTTCATTATGATTCAATCACCAAGTTGATCTCGATTTTTGAATTTTTCAATATTTAACTCGAAAATGTACCAAAAACACGTTTTTTTGAGATTCAATATATTCTAATAAATTATTATTTGTTAATAGTACATTTCTTTAACTATAAAAATGATAAAAATAACTATTAATTACAGATAACAATCTTAATTATTAATTAATTAATTAATTGATTTGAGATTGAATAAAAAAGAAAACAACTCAAAATAGCTAGTCACCGTCTTACAATGGGAAACAAGATGAAAACAACAAAGATGAGTATCGTTGTTTTTGGCTCGGCCGCTGTCGGGAAGACGGCTTTGATCCACAGATACGTGACTGGAAAATTTATCGACAGATACGACCCAACACTGGACGAGGCTTTGGTGCACAACCCGATCGTCGACAACGTTATCTGCCATTTAAGCATTCAAGACACATGTGGTACAGACCAGTTTGAAACGGTTCGCGAGATGTACGTGACACAAAGTGATGGAGCACTCATCGTGTTTTCCGCCGGACAACCAACGACATTCAAAGACGTTCAGACGTATTATGAAGTCATCAAAAGGTTTAAGGCCGAGAAGGCCAGAGTTGTTGTGTTGGTGATGAATAAAATTGACCTTGAGGTTGTCGTCGATGAAAAAGAGGTGGAGAGTTACGCACAAAGCATTAACGCTAAATTTGTCAAAGCTTCAGCTAAAGACAACACAAACGTCACAGAGTCATTTGAACAATGCATTCGAGGTGTTCTAGAAAGGAAGCCACCAAAGAATTCTTCGAATGGCTTTTGTGGTATACTTTAATGTAAAGTGGTGAGGAAAGTGTTACAAAAGAAGAAATTCAATAAGCTGTGTTCGATCTTATAAAGTTAAAACATAATATTTTTGTTATTCATTTTTTTGGGTTGACTATCATTTATTCATTGATAATACAATTACAATTGATATAATCACTTTTCAATGTGAATTTGAAAAACAGTTATTATTAATTGTTGACAATCTATAATTAAAAATAGATTGTTAAGCAAGAGTGGCCGAGTGGTCCAAGGCGCTCGTTTCAGGTACGAGTCTTTTCGAAGGCGTGGGTTCGAACCCCACCTCTTGCATTTTCTTTTTTCAATTTAATTAAAACAAAGTTTTGTTTTAGTTTGAAAATATCAATTGTAATAAATTAAAAAATTAATAGAAAATTTTGTTAATAAATTATTATTTTAATAAATATTAAAAATAAAAAAAAATAAACTATAAATAATCATTGAAATTACTTTCAATTTGTAAAATAAAAAAATAATTTTATTTTTGGAAAATCAGTTTTTTTTGAAAAGAAAAGAAGTTTTGAATTTTGTGGGTCATATAAAGGGCAAAGTATAATCTCGAAACCATGGAATATCACAGAGAAGTCAACGAGTACATGTTTTATTATAGTGATGAGATAGGAAACGAAAGCAAAAAACTAGCAGACAAGAATTGGACAATTTACGAGCTGAAAAGACGACTTGGACTTGACAATGAAACCAAATTATACTATAAACGATTAGAATTGAGGATGAACTTTTATACAATGGAGGAATGTGGAATTTTAACAGGAAAACTTCTCTATTGTGCTTATAATCCAGAAAAGTATCACAAATCGGGAGGACCTTTTCCTCCATCTAATGGAAAACGCTATAACCGTTTTAGATTTTATTGATTTAATTCAGTAATACAATCTAGTTTTAATTATATTTTTTTTTCAATTATATGTTACTCTTATTTCATTTTCCAATTTTTTTGATTGTGTTTAAAGTAAAAAATATAACAAAAAGCGAAATTCACAACAATTATATTAAAATTAATACCTTTTTTATTTTTAAAAAGGTATAAATGAAAAACAAAAAAGCACAAAATTACGTTATTACAAAGTCACTCGGTCGTTTTATTATATAGAGTCGGTAATACTCGGACTAACCACCTCATAAAGTGATGAAGCAACAGGAGTGAATACACTTTCAGCTTTCATATTTTTGAGTGTCTCTTCAAGCATTTCCTCAGTTATGTTCAATCTCTTTAAATGTCCAAAAAATCTGTTCTTGATATTGTTTGCAGTCCTTCCTTGAATCATTGTACAAATAACAGACCATTTGCGTCCATATTGATTGACTGCTTTCAAAATAAAAATGTCTTCGGTGACAGTCCAAGGTCTCTTCTGGACAATACCATTACTCAAGTGATTTAAATACCTCTCTCTACATTGTTTTCTGGTCCTTCCTGGTATCTTTCGACAAACACTTTTCCAGTTGTTAAGACCAAATGTCTCTACAGCTTCTAACAAGAGTGAGTCTTCGGCTTTTTTCCACATGTTGACAAACTTTTTGTGCTTTGATATCAAGGGCGCTTTAACAGAGAACTCCATTTGAGAAGTAAGATGGGTTTCAAATCCTTTTATTCCTTCAGAACAAATTTAATTTCTAATTTGGAAAAAAGGGAATTTTTTGTAAGTCTAAAAATAAAATAATTATTCGATTAAAAGCAAAAGTACTTATAAAATTATAAAAGTTGTCTAATTTAACAATAAAAATGCAAGAAAACGGGAATAAACGTTTAATCGATCATTGTTATAGAAATTGCCTTGTCCATTTTTTTGACAAAGAAAAAAAAATTATTGATGTATAAAGTATACATTTAGTTTTTTCACATCTGTGTTAAGTTTAAAGCAATTTGTACTACAACAACCGTGTTGAACAACAGGTGGTGCTAAGTTCCGAAATAAAACTTTACATAAACCACATTAGGGTAAATTTAACTCACCGAAATATTTTTATTTATGATTTTTTAAGTTGTTGATTTGAGTAATGGAAAAAAAGACAAAGACGTTGTTGTCTCTTCTTTCGCTTTGAGTAATTGTCTGTTTGGATTATCAATAATAATTCCATAATTATTAGGCGATCAAGCTCTTAACTTGGGCAATAAAACTCCCCTCAAGAGATTAAAAAACATTTCTATTTTTATATTTTTTGTAAAGTCTGTCTAAAAACGTTGTCCATTTGACAAAATTTTACACAAAAATATGTTGAAAAATTTAGGAATTAGGTAAAAACGATCAAATCCCGGTAAAAATTATGAAACGATGTTTTGGGATTGTTTCGAATTGTTTCCCGAAATATTCCAGTTTTGATGGTCCAAAAATGCCTGGACAACGTTGGAGAGCGGACAACGTTTTCAGACTGACTATAATAAATCTTTTTTTTACGAATTTTTTTGGAATATGTGATTACATATAATATATTACATGTATAATAAGTTAAGTTAATTTAATTCGCAAACTGTTATTTCGAATTATGGCAGTACTGATAACTGTTATTTAACTTCACTTTTAAAGGGAGAAGAGTTTATTTCGAACAACAATTTTCATCAATTGTTAATCCGTATTGTATTTATTAAATTTTTTCAATGCATTACATTTCATTATATCATCGTAAAAACAAAAAACAAAAGGTTTTTGTAATTCATAATTAAATGGAGGTGTTAAGTACAACAAAAAGATCGGAATTGACAATTGAATAATAATTATAACAAATTGAATAACAAAATGTAACAAAAAAATATAGTTAATAAATACAAACTCAATGTTTTTAGTTTTTTATTTTTTTTATTATATTAAAATAATTAACATTTTTAATACAATAATCAGATATTATCAAAATAAAAACATTCAAATTAAAAGATTTAAAACAGTTGTTTAAACTTCAAATAATAACAATTCATTTTTATTATAGACAGTGAGTAATGTAAAGATGATTATATTTGTGTTTTAGACATGTTAATTATTTCAATAAAATAAAACAGAGGATGTAACGTTTGTTACAGTCCTGATTCCAAATTGGTTGTTAATAAAACAAAATGGGTTATAAATAATTGAGTAAATTTTTTTAACACAACCCAAATTGAAATGAAACTTCTTTATTTATTATATGAAGTAATATAAATATTAACCACATAATTCCATGATAATACATTTAAAATGATATTCTTCTTTCAATAACTCAAATAAATCACAAAAACACTTCTGTTTAAAATAAAATAATAATTATAACAATAACAGTCTTTCATTTATTTTTCAATTTTATTCTAAAGTTTGTAGATTTTCACACAAATCTTTTTAAAAAAATATTTTTCGCTAACTATATGTTTTAAATATAAATTAGTCTCAAACATTCAAAGATAAAAAAATTTTCTTAAAATATTATTCCCATTTCTACACTTTTTGTTCCAAACATTTATTAGTACTATATTATATTAATAATTTATTTAATAAAAAATCAGAAAAAATAGTATCATTGAACTTTTGGGATTATAATATGCCTTTATGAAGAATATAATTCAAGAATATTATAATAATAAAAATTAAAACTATAATACACAATGGCCACTCCAGTCAACGTGACCATTCCACTTGAAGATTATATCACTCTCCGACTTGTCCACAACCAACTTGAAACAGCGAGGAAACAACATAAAATTTTGCTCGAAGAGCGAGTGAAAAAAAGAAAAGAAATCGAAGACATCCAACTTAAACTTGAATCTAAAAGAAAGGAAATACAAACAACAACAAGGGAATTGGCTTCGTTGAGGGGAGAATGTGAAATCGAAAAACAGAAGATTATCCTCATTTCTAAAATGCCACGACCACTCGAACTCCATCACAAGAAACAAAAGAAGCTCGTAAGAAATGATAAGACATCGAAAATTGTTACAGAAAAAGAGACGAATTGACAATACTTGTGGTAATGTTAAAAGTAAATAAATTTTTAATGTGGTTATGGTTTCTTAACCTTTAAGCTTTTAATGGCTTTTGGTTTTACAATGATCTATAAATAGTCCGATTATTTTGTCGCACTATTGCGACAAAATAAAAATGTTAATATCATTGCTTTTCTTTTGACCTTCATGCTCAATTACAATAATTATAAATTCATTATGTCTTACTCGTTGTCATGTAGTATTTGAATGACATAAATGCTGTTTAGAGTTAATAAATTATATAATAAATACTCTTATGAATAATAAATAATTTGACTAATTAGATATCAATAATTAATAACAAACAATGGGATTCTACTCTTCAATAAAGGATGTGATTCGTAACGTTAATATAAAGTAAAGCCACACTTTTATATTAAAGAAGATTAATGATAAAAACACCATCTCAAATATGATCACTGTTGAGGTGCTAACTGCATTTAAAATAATTAAACAACAAACATAGTATTATTGTTGTCTGTTGCCCTTATAATATAATGATGATATGTCTGTATTAGTAAGATTTGAAATAAAAAACAAAAGATTCTATTCTATTTTTAAAATAGCATCTTTTCTTTTTTAATAACAAATAATGTCATAACAGGTAATATTATTATTTTTAACTATAATTATATTATTCCTTTTTTTAGTAGAATATAATTATTTTCATAAAAATACCAACACCACAAAAGAAATTTTGTGAAAAGAAAAAATGAAAATGTGTTTAGGAAAAAATGAATTAAAAACAATTTAATTACAAATTAAAATGTAAAAACTCAACAAATTAATTCAAAATAACACAACAAATTTATAAAAACATACCCCTTTTATTAAAATATTAAAACAAATAGGCTTTCAAAGTTCAGACACTAAGAATTATAATCATTTTAATACAATAATTATTTAAAGTATATAAAATCGCTATTAATAACGCTGTTTAATGTCTTTTTATTGATAATTGTCTCGTTATATTAAATATAATATGTGTATAATATCAATTTTATGTTTGGTAATCTCAACCTTTAAATCCTTAAACATAAAGCTTCAAACTGAATTAACTTTTTTAGATGTGGTTATTGAGTTTATAAGTTTATAATTTGCTTTTTTGTTCAACTTTGACTTGTTATGCAAAAATGAACTTAAGCCATATGCTGTTTTATTAAGACAAACAGACTTTATTATCAAAATAATATTGGTAATATTATTGTATAAGTTATTTATTAAATAACAGAAGTAATTCAATAATCTTTTTTGACTATAATGACTTAACACCAAAAGAACAGAAACTTTTGAAATAAAATTTGTTGTGTTTTTTATTAACTTTTTTTTTAAAAACAATTTTGAAAGATAAAATTGGAAATTTTTCTTTTTTTCTTTTTTAAACAATAATAAATAATAGTTGTTTTTATTATAAAATACTAATATTATTTAGTATTTTATAATAATTTATAATACTTTATTAATAATTTACTAAAAAATAGCATTTCAAATAACATAGTAAGAAATATGAATTAATAAACATCTAAAAAATACTATTTAAATGGATAATATAATATCCATTCCACTCGAAGAATATATTTCCCTTCAACTTGTACACAACAAATTGAAGTCGGTACGTCAGCAAAACGAATCGCTTCTTCAAGAAAAAGAAACTTGCCGTCTTGAGATTCAAGACATTCAAAATAAAATCATTTTACAACAAGAAATGATTCAGCACACGACGTGTAAACTTGCAAAACTTCGTAAAGAGTGCGAAGTCGAAAAACAAAAAATTGGTCTTATGACTCAACTCCCAAGAGAGGAGCCACTTGTTTATAAAGTTAATAAAACTTGTTGCAAAATCGACTCTTGTGACTCCGAAGAAGTTCTCGTCAAACCTCGCATTTGTATCAATCCAGAGTCTTACGACACTCAAGACGACACCGATTCATTATTTTCCTCTCCACAACTAACAAATGAGAGTTTGGTGTGTGACAAATTTGATAAGAAGCATCCGCGTATCGACTTCGAAATGGACTACCCCGCCCTTCTCAAAGTCTTTTGTGACAAA